AGCTTCGGGCTATAGCAAAGGTTACTGCAATTAGATGCACGTCAAAATACAAAATTATCAATTGACAAGTGACGATTGTTAGCAACTCCAAAATGACGGTGATCAATATTGATGAGAATTCAAATATACATATGAATACGTGTAGAATATATATACACACACTTATAACACGAATCGTCCAAATAATCAATATTAAACAATAATGCTGCACTATGTAACTAAATAAAAAACTACTTATATTAACTCTTCGGTACGTAAGGCACGTATCTGTGTTTCATTCATGAATTTAAGTTTTGTTTAAATGCGAGCCGAAGACTTTTTGATTACCACGTAAGGAACATTTGACTATTGATCCGCGAAGAGTTTTTAAATAAAACTCTTATAACCGTTGAAAAACGTTAACTGATGTTTAATTTATTTTAACTGCGGCACAACGTTTTGGTCGCTACAAATATCTACCGTTAAAGGTATATTATTTATATCTGTACGTCGGTTACTACAGACAATACTTAATGATTTTATTTATAATTACTAGTATAAATACTTTTTTATAAAGTTATATCAGTTGTCCTTTATGCGCACGAAACAATATAATAATGTCTATAGTTTACGCGAGTAGTACACATTTAAATAAAACACTTTAACGGTTTAAAACGCGATATATTAGTTAAACTTATCATTTTCAAATAAGTTTAACTAATATATCGCGTTTTAAACCGTTAAAGTGTTTTATTTAAATATAATAATGTCAAAAAAAGGCTTCCTCCTACACCTGATGAAAACGATCATCGCATTTTTCGTTCTGCCGTGAACATCGGAAGCCGAATAAAAAGTACAACTAATGTGTACGCTACAAAATTCCTGTTGTCAATTAAGAAAATATTTCCACAATAATACCATTTTGAGAAGATATTTTCACATCGGACATGAATTCTTTTACGTAGTAACTTTTTACGAACAACAAGATGGCGGCATTTTTCGTTCGGAAAAAGTTCAATGACTGCTATTTTATGGGTAAAGCCATTTACTTTAATATATAGTTCTCGTTAGGAGTTGGCTCATCAGGGGTTCCGCATAGCTACGGAATGGGCATAAAAATGTATTAGTTGAAATAACTACTGCAATTAAGACAGTAATGTTTGTCACGGAGATTTTTAATGACAATTGACTCTTGCGCACATTTTTTGTAATTATCTTTCTATGCCTTATTTATATGTTATTATTAATTTGACCTGTATTTCTTAATAATGCAGCTTTATCTTTCGTCAATCAAGTAATTTTGTTTTTTCGTTTATTTCAGTGATATACAATTCTGACAGTTGACTTCATTTAAAAAGGCCTAATAAACTATTTCAAAGCATTAGTAGATTATATTTATGTGGTATTTAATTTAAACCAGAGAGAAGGCGGCAAAAAATTAGAAGTAAGTGAAAGAGAATACCAGTCTAAGTAGATGATTAGACTTGTACTTACGAATATGTTTTAGGTAGTGGTCTCATATAACCGTAGATCGATACGACATTTACTGTTTTGGAAATTTAATGTTGTGTCTTGTTCACGCGCTTGTTGCATGTTTAAGAATTATTAATTAATAATATCAGCGTTTAACCCTTTCCACAACTTCATAGCCTTTATACTGAGTCTGCACAAGAGCGTAATAAAATATTATTATTTAATATTAATTTAGTTGAATCTGTAGGTAGTTGATTGTTTGTTGATTGCCTTGCTTGTGACGTTTCCCGCGCGAGCGCAGCTTATTGGAGACCATAGCCTTACCGTTCGGAGGCGACGCACGACATCCGATGTAGCGTTACCGCATTTTTGGAATCCGAGTCTTAAGTGAAACCGCTAAGTGGCGTTGCAGTTAGCATAACTGCATTCAACGTCGCTATTCCATCAATTCGAGATTTATGTGTTTATCATAGATACGAAATAAGCCCCTGATGCCTAGAACCCTGGTGTAATCTACTGCTTCCGTTAAGATAATTTCCTTTGGTTTAACTCTTAACTGATGATGTTTTTGTGCTCTTTAAGGCACGGGGGTGATAACTATAATATATTATATATTAAATTACAATATACAGGTATCATCTCGACCACTGTAGTGCGTTCGAAATGTCAGGTCAAAATTACGTAAACAATAAACGCCTTTGAAACGGTTAAATGTGTTCCATTTATAATTTTCCAGCGCACCAACCAGTCCGTCTTTATATAATCATTTTTAATTCTCAAAGTTATAAATTTATCTCCGTTGACAAGCAAACCGATTTTGATTTCATTAACCTTGTGCCACAAGAAACCATACTATAAAATAATGTTACAATTATAATTTTACTGCCTGTCATACGTTTGAATTACGACTAGTTTTAATCAAGTTTCTTTTGATTTATAGCTCACTTTCAATCCTTCTTTATTCATTTAAGTGTTTTTATATTTTTTACTATTCTACTCGGGTGCAATGTTAAAAGACAGGTTCTAAGATATAGGAATGCAGTCGAAAATGCGTCAATAGCCAGCAATTTACTCTAATGAAGACTTCATAAATCATACTATGTCGTTAAGTTTAATCCAGGGATTGATGGTTTTTGTCTGTCTATTACAAAATTCAAGAACATCTAGTTATTTTTATTTTACTTTATTTATTTTTACTTTATTTATTTTTTGCCTGAGATTTACAATTATATAGTATAACGTGTCTCATTGAAGTAGTCTTCACGTTTGTTACCAACTATTGAAAATTTTCAAAGTCCTGGATTCGAATTCTGGCTACACAATTAATACAGGCAAGCCTTATTAACCACTTACTTGGCCATAAAATGGGTCATACGATAGACATATATAAATGTACAAGATACTCTAAATACGAAAGAATATTTCAGTACCCCATGGCCTTGAATATAATAACAAACAGTAGACTTTGAAGTCCGAAATGCTATTTATAGCATGTATGTTCTTCCGTATATCTTCTATTTTCATGAATTATGAATCTACAAGAAAGGGGCGTTAAATTGAGTTTAAACAGTACAGTGAAGCGACACTACGCGATAAGATCGTACTAGAAGCACAAGTAAGGTCGCTCTCACACCAATAACTTTTAAATTTTAGCAATAAAACCTTCTCATAATAAGTCTATAGCACATCTTGATTAAATGTAACGTGGCGGGGTCATTTCATCTTCCATCAAGTGAATCTTATGCTTGTCTGTCAACTTGTCATGAAAGCATCAGTTCATATTTCCATTATTATTTGAAATTCTGCGTAAAGTTACTCTTAACCTTACCGAAATTTTAAACGTCATATTGTTGTTTATGTTGAAACATTTAGCTGCAGAGTACTATTTTCTTTTTTATTGTGTTATATCAAATATTACAATTTACAATAAGAAAAGAGCAAATCGCTTCTTTTTGATAGAGGACAGACAAGCACGGGGCTTACTTAATGGTAGTTGAAATACTCCAGCTATCGACCGATTTCGGTTTTCCATTTATTCGTGGTTCGTGACCCGGACCGAATTTTCGATACACACATTTTATATCCATATTGCTCGACGAAGTCCAATGTGTTTCAGGAAAAATATAAATTTGTTAGAAATAAGTTAGACTCATTTGGAATCGAATCCAAAACGCGTTGATTGCTACCAACAAGGCAAAATAAATATAAACTGAAAGATATCGTGTATACGGATGCCGTATCAATACAGATACGGCAGCATCCACTACCTTTGATTTTCTAATAAGCTATAAATAATTAATTAATCGTGTGACCACAGGCTGTATAATGAGTCCGGCGTGGACAAAAACCGGGGTTGCGTCCACGACCGCTGAATAAGTATCTAACTTGTTTTTGTTTTTATTTTTTCATGCCCTGCGGTAGGTATGTGACGGGATTCTAGTTACCATACTTAACATCCGTACTTTTTACTTACTTCGCTGGAACACTCTTACGGTTTTACGCTTTTGTGGACGGTGTTGCCATTTTTGGGGCATTTTTTTGTGTTATTAACCTAATGCGGCGGTATCTGGAATTGTATGGAGGTTGATACGGCTAGCTTTTATCATGCAATTGTAGCGGGCACTGATTCTCTTATGGGCTTCTCGATTGAATGTCGCTGACGATTTGCTATTTTTAGCTGTTACCCACGACTGTTGTCATTTTTTAGATCATTAAAAGAAGAACAATTCTTTACATATCTTTTGGGAATCTTGAACCGTTTTCTTTTAGCACAAAGATACTATTGTTCCCGTTTTTTTCACTTTTCCCACTGTTACTTCGTTCCTATTGGTCAGAGCGTGTTTATAGCCTAAGCGTTAAATACGTTAACCAACACAAATATAATTTATGAATTGCAACCAATACTTTCTGAGATTTATAATATTAGTACAGATGACTTACGTGTGTCGTCTACCAGCTAATTTAATTTAGTAAATTTTATTAGAACAGCGTTATCTGATGTCTGTCGCTTGCGTGAATTACCAGAGTTAGGGCTTTCGACGAGTTACGATGGAAAAAATTATTAATATTAGAGTTTTAATTCTTAGGGTAATATGGATACAACTAAAATAAAGATGCCAACGGGAGTTCCATTTTTTCCTTATTTTATTGAACAAAATAGATCATTATTAATTTAGACAATAGGTCACTAATCTTAACGTTGATTACAAGATAAATAGAACAATATTAATTAATTATTATTTGTCATTAACAGCAAGCCAAAATAGAGATCACGATCTTTATTTTGGCTTGTTGTTTGAAAACCTGTATCTTTTGTTTTTTAATCATTAAAACAACAGCTTATTATGTTGTCAGTGAAAAATGTTTGCAACGTATACGAATAGTACAAAAATTGTGTCACTGAGAGACGTTAAGATAAAATAAACAAAATGATATAGAAATATATGTTTATTGCATTATAATTTGTTTCGCATTGAAATTTCCATACATTTGTCAATGACAGATACCATTCGTCAACAATATTTATACATTGATTCAATGTAGGCAATTCATTCGTCACTCGTGACCAAATCTATAGACATATTGAAATGTCCCTTTTCCAAATCGCAAACCACTTGATAGCCCCACTTATTAGAACTGTTGACAAGTTGCGCACGTTTCTGGAATAAAAGTAATATACCATTAAACTGTAGTGTACGCGTATAGTACACATTTAAGTAAAACACTTCAACGGTTTTAATCGCGAAATACCTACATTTACGTAACAGATGGCGCCAGCGTCGCAGTTAACAGCATATTTAAACTATTAAACTAACTCAAACTGACACTATATAAATAGCTATATTGAGAATGTTGACGATCTTTGAAATGCTAAGATTTACTTATCTGACTTATTAAAAAAATATTGTTTAACCTGGCATTTGAACCCTTCTAGGGTTCAAATGCCTAGTGTTCTGCAGACAAATAGTAGTAGTATAGAAATATTTTATTTTATTTTTTATTATAAGCTTGATAAAGATATAAAAGGAAATCTTGCGCACAAATCTCAAACTATCAGCAAACGCCCCACGTTCGATTTGTATAATATGTAAGCACATCTCACGCGACTTCAGTATAACTTAAACAATATACCAAATTTAAATAACAGAAAGTAACTCACTAAGATCTTAACAGCTTGTCTTGAATGCATATCCCAATTTACAAGTTGGCCCACGTTCGGCCAATCCATGGGCCCCGAACTTATCTGCTTGCCCCCAACAATCCATACAGCCCAAATCGCGAAGCCATTAACTACGTGATTCCCTTCAGATGAATCGCTGTTAAAAAAAAATATACTAATAATATAAAGCTGAAGAGTTTGTTGGAACTCAGGAACAAGTGGTTTACATTGAAAATTCTACAATGTGGGATGGAACGTTTGTCGAGACAGGCTTTAGTAGGCATCGACAATGCAGATGATGTGAAAACGGGGAGAACTATTCATCTTTGAGGGTTGCAGGGTTTTTTTAATACCCTACAACCGGAAAAATATGTAAAATAGAAATATTGTTCTTTAAATATACTAACAAAATGTCCGCGACATGTATATGTCCTTTAAAAATTAACTCACAAGACACGTTTAAATATATATTTTTTTAGTTTTATGGTAGTAAAATTGGTCAAAATATGTAGTTCAATATGCCTAAAGAACGTTTTCCAGATAAGCTAGTAATTAATATTGTCTGTTATTAAATTGTTTTATCTGCTCATTCTGTAGTCCAGATACAAAATATTTTATTAAACTTGCGTTATGCGCCCAGTAACTATCATAAATAGATTGAACATATACAATGATGACGAGTGGGGAAACATGGGCGGGACCCGAACCCACTACCTCATGGTACAATACTGTTCCTATACTAATTTAGCTACTATGGCCTCTAGTAGGTAAATTAGACGCTAGTCCTAATCAAATATGTACAAATGTTTTTATTAATGTTTCATATCTGATGTATTAAAGGGGGGGGGTTGTTGGCATGTACATAAATATAAACATTTCAATAATGAATTCTCCTCTGCATTATACAAAAAATTGTCACATTTACTTACACAACATGAAAATCTCCATCGACAGCCAAAGTGGGCTTAAGATCTGTTAGATTAATTTCAACTAGTTTCCTCGGGGTACCCCTACATTTGCAAGGGTACTCCCACAAGGGCTGGGGTTCAATCTCCGCGTCGCTCACTATCCGAGAATTCTGAAACGAAAGGTTTTCATTATTTATCTCGTACTCTGTATGTATCTAATATATAAAAAATAGTTTTTAACAAAAAACAACAGACTTCCAACGGTAAATTAAATTGAAAAAAAAAAAAATACATTTAATTCGCCCAAAATAGTACATATTAATAGTTAATAGAGTTCTATTAAACTGTTAATTTTATATATATTATAATTTTTAAGTTTTTGTCAAGTAAAACAATATGTGTGTAGTCTATCTTAAATACTGTCTGTAGTTTACGCGAGTAGTACACATTTAAATAAAACACTTAACGGTTTAAAACGCGATATATTTTAGTTTTGCTTTGCTTTTACCCTTAAGCATCCGAAACGTCGGGCCCTAGTTAAAAATAATTTTCAAACTAAAATATATCGCGTTTTAAACCGTTAAAGTATTTTATTAAGTATTTCCACGTTGTATTCGGCTCTTGATAAACGACGTTTTTCAAGCCAGTAATCTGGTAGATAATATTTAAAAGTATGTTTGATATGGCAGATGAACGATTTACAGGTAAAGAACTGAATAAATTGAAGTCGGACATTCAAGTTATTATTTCTCAGGATTTGGACCTGGAAATACGCACTTTTCAAGTAAATGAAGCTGTGTACAAAGCCTATATATATAATGAATATTACCTCAACAAGTCCATCGAAGATGCTCATATCTATCCCCTCACACTTATCTAACGGCACTCGTATTTTGTGCAAATCGTTAAACTCAACGGGCATAGCCCAAAACTCACACCCGTCCGGCATTACCAATTCCCCATTCAAACTTTCTCTGTATTTATATAAAATGTAGGCCACTTTCAGATTCTCCCACGGCAATATTGAAGTACTGAAGTTAGGATCACATACGACATTTGTCGCTTCTTTTAAAACGTCATCTGTCAGCTCGGGGATTATTTGGACGTTTTCTATTGAGTTTTCTCGTATATAATCGTTTAGTATTGCGATGTTCAACTGCATATTTTCCAATATGTACACTTTGTTTGCAGTTCTCGCAGCGGCCAGGCCAAGGAAACTACTCCCATTTAGATCCAATACAACTGCTTCTTTGTTTAAGTCTTGTATTTGCGCTAAGAACCTCTTGCTTCTTCTTCCATCGTTTAAGTAGGAAACATGGGTTCTAGACAGGGTCATGTGGACCCCGCACTCGCATATAGGTCTTTTGTAATTTTTCGGTTTAATTCCGTCATTTTCTGGAAAGGAAATGTATCGCGTTTCGGTTTCAGCCTGTGGTTTTTCCGAATATCGAAAGCCAAAATGGGTCGACACTCGACAGCTCATCGTGTTTAGATGTTATATGCCCTGTTTGGATATTATATTTCACCTACCATCAAGTGAAAACGGAGGTGTTTGTTCTCGTCCATAATAAATAAAAAAATATGTGGAAAAGTTTTAAAAATAGTCTACCTTATTGATTATATTATTTGAAAGTTCAAACGGTAACTAACATACTCAAAAACTTTCCTATTTATAATCTTACTAGAAAGTTTAAGGTCACAATAAGACAAACACTTATTATCCTACCTAAATAGAACCATAGCGAAAATTCATCTTGGCAGGAAACTAGAGTAACTTCTTCCCCTTTTGTGAGGCTAAAAGGCTGAGGTAGATAATAAACCGCTTGCATCCAGTGATCACGCCACGGAATCGAGTCTTGGGGACGATCTGAAGATAAGTCTGCATCTGGGTGACTCCACCATGGAGCACAACTCAACACTATTCTGCCTGGAATAAATTCAAAACAAATAAAAAAAGTGCAAAATCGTGGGGCATGGGGCGAACACATTTCTGTGTCCGTTTCATTGATCCGTTCTTTTTTATCAGGCAAGTAGTTGATCAGACTTCTGTGCCCTACCTGACCGGAACAACTTTTTTTTGTTGTTAATATAGAGAAGAAGTCGCTGACACAGCTAGTCATGTAATACTTATGTAATAAAGATCACCTTCTGTATCCATATTAAGTTCCCACCACATAAACACCATCTGTGCGTTTCCAGTGGCTAAGGCATTGAAGTTCTGTTTGCCGGTTCTTCTTTTAATAATATCTGATCCGCCAGACCAATCATACAAGAAAACTGGAATCTGTTCTGATATTTCAGTGAAGGCCTGACGTGGAAGTTGGGATAGCTGAATGTCATGCACAGCGGCTGAGCCAGGACAATTTTTCATCTGAAACCAATATCCATGCACAGTTAATAAATAAATAGGACCTGAGGTGCCAACTATCGGGGATTCTTAGTTCATTAGATAAAGTTAACAAACTGCATTAATCACAGTAGGGGATTTTAATTTAATCCTTATTGACTTATAACTTATTTTCAGAACAAAATAAGATTTAATTTACGCATAGACTTTATTTAAATAATACACGGTAACTACGCCAACTTCGACGTGATTCCCCCAAAAACGATATTCGACGAACCAAATATTCTTTTAACCTGCGTAAGAGTGAGTAAATCTGAATAATTACTTTAAGTGGTGCCCTTAATATAATTTCTAGATCTTCGTCAGCCAAATCATTTAATTTATTCCACTTCTGCATCGTGGGGCATTCTACCACTTGAGCGTAGATCACTGCTGAATCGGGGACAACAATACAGTCCTTCTCCAAAAGGTTATTGTGAGCATGCTCGAAAGTTAATAGGGCCGCTGTAAGTTCAACACAAGTTTATATACAACTAGCTGTATTTTTTTTTTCAATTTACAATAAAGTGAGAAAGAACATAATACAATGTTCATAATCATAGCAATTATGAAGGAAATCCAAACATCAAATTGTATGAAAAAAGTTGTAAAATTATTGACAATATATAATAGCTTTGTTAAAAACTTATTCAGAAACATACATAGAACATACTGTCTATAGTTTACGCAAGTAGTACATATTTAAATATATTAGTTAAACGTATTTGAAAATTATTTTTAACTTCGGCCCGTCGTTTCAGATGCTTTGCAGCAGCCGTGGCCAGTCTCCGCGTGACCACGGCTGCTGCAAAGCATCCGAAACGTCGGGCCGAAGTTAAAAACCGCGAGGTATTACCTTCTATTGCAAAAGTATGATTTAAAAATTCTTGGCCAAATGCCACCTTTTGGTTTACTATGGTATATATTGTCTCTACCAATTTTAGTTTTCCACAATTTTACCTATGTCTATTAATATATAATGTATAAAAAAAATTGTACGGTGCAATTTTTATACAAGCTTTATCATAGAATTATTGCAATAATTTCACAACAATTATAATAGGTATTAGATCAATAATTTTTTTATACATAAGTATTATTATTAAACAAAGCAAATGTCAATCTTCTGTTAACATAATTGATTATTATAACTTACCTTCACCAATCAGCTCTGTATCAAAAACCTCTGTAACAAGTATATTGGCCTTCTCTGTCATATCTCCGTCCTCACCAACTGTTAGATCTGTTGATCTTTTAGGTATGACTCTTATTTTATCAGATACCCCATTCTTCTGTAATATTTTAAGACAGCATTCGGCCATAGGTTTAAACGCTTCACAGGCAGTTATAGTATCAGCACCACATTTTGCTGCCATGATTGAAAGCAGACCAGTTCCTGTACCTGCAATTTCAATATACAGTTTTATTTGCATTATTGAGACAACTTCAATCCAATTCTTCCTGTGTAGGAGACAATATAATTTTGTATTGAAGATGCCAATAGATGGCCAGATGATCAGTCCCCATTTTTGTACATTATTGCTAAGCAAGTCATCTTATTCTGCATAGACAGATTATATAGTTTTGACCATATCAAATGTAATTGGTAGTGAAGCAAAGTTGCTATTACTAATTGAAAACTTTGTTATTTGTCAGAGGATGTTGGGCAATACAACTGTCATCTTATTGTCCTAAACATTCAGATCCTTTTACAAAAACTTATTTTTCTTTTTCATCTTTAATTCTTTGGTGGTAAAGATTACATATATTAAGTCAAAGTTTGGCTAGCAGCCCAAAATCTTGTTAAATCCGAGAATATATTGAAGAGTATATTCACCTATATCCAGTACATTGGCCTTCTTCCCATCATTATGCATTTTTTCTATAGCTAATTGTAAAGCTCTATAATATTTCTGATTGCGTTCACTATCATGTAACATATCTGCGAAAGCCGAACGAGCTATTTCTTGGTGATAGTCATAATCTTCATTTTGAATGTCCCACTCTGTACCACCGGTAATGGGATTTCTCTTTTGAGTAAACACTTGCATTTTGTTTACTTTTGTAAGAATTCTAAACCTAATGAACAATCAGTTATTATAAGTTAATACTAATACATACTGATAAATAAGTAACATAACCACTTTGAAAGAAGGCCATACCTTTCTACAAAAACTAATAAATTACTACAAAGCTTTTTATTGACTAAACTAAGCATTAAATTTAATATGATACATTGCAAGTTTAGTAATAACTTAATTCACAACAAATAAACATAATTTAAATTAATTAAAAGTCAAGATCATCAACACCGCACCGGTATATACTACCGCAGATTAAAGTTTTTTGTAATATCTTACAGATTAAACAATGAATACGAACACAACCATAGATACCATGGGTTTCAGTAGAACCTTCCAGCTGTGGGAGTTAAACCACAGCTAGAAGGTACTACTGGAAACCCACATTTAAAATAAGGGGTTTCTACTAGATTGCTTTATAGATAACTAGATTAGCTTGATTAGGGCTAGGCTTTGGTTTAGTTGGCAGATTATTCATTTATCTGTATTCTGGTATATATTGATAATGGCAAGGAATTGTCAATGCGGTAATAGTTGTCAATTAAATCGTCTTTCATTACGACGTTTTACTATCATGGCGGCCGCCGTAGGCAGAATTTGTGGGGCACGACTTTTGAAAAATTATGGTTTAGTTGCACCCCAGGTACTAAATATACTTGCAAAAATGTTATTTAGTACTAATGAGATAGTGAATTCCATGTCTCGGGGTCTGGGTGTGTTTCATAGTGAAATCGAAATTTGTGTAGAACTGATGTCGGAACCCGTGTATTTTAATTTTTCCACGATTTACGACGAACGTAGTGTTTTATTATTGTAGAGTATATTCAGAGTTTGTCGTTTCCAAAACTATGACCAAATGTTTTGTTATAAAACGGATCAGAGGTAACCTTCATAACATTATGTAACAAGTTCAGAAACTAATGGGCATCATCCCTTACAGGTACATCAGCTGTCCACTAGTACTAAGGGATGGACCAAAAGTAGAAAATTGGTAAGTAGCCATATTTTTTAAACTAAGACTCATCTAATACTCATCAATACTTCAAAAAAAATCTCTTGATATTTTTATTAATATTTAATATAACACAATATTATAATATAAATAAAACATTTATGGAAAGTCTCTAAATAATTTGTTGTTTATGAAATAATTATATTTTCTGAACCAGTCTTGAAATAGCTACTGTATATTATTAAACAAGCAATTGTAGACCACTCTGTGCAGCATTCCAAGCAATAATTGTAATATAAAATTACTAATACATTTTTGCTGCAATCCCATTATTATTTATTAATGATTTTTATGCCTATATAATTTCAACCTTCAGAATTGCTTATACAATGCAAAACATCCTTTTTAGTGGCTGTCTACATTAGGAGTAGTAGGTGGAGGGGTGGGAGCCCTGCTGTTTGCTCTTGAGCAATCAGTTCAGGCTTCTGGAAGTGAAGCCCATCCATACCACCAACCCTGGAGCCATGATGGCTGGTTCAAATCGCTTGACCATGCCAGGTATGAAATAGTTTTTCTCTCTGCTTAATAAGTATTTATGTTTATCGATAGTCAAGTATATCCCTGGTTGTAATACAAAATATATCTGCAGTGTTCGTCGTGGGTATGAAGTGTATAAACAGGTGTGCAAAGCCTGCCATTCCCTGCAATACATTGCCTACCGTAATCTGGTCAATGTAACCCATACAGAAGCTGAAGCTAAAGCAGAGGCCGCTGAAGTAAGTTGACTTTATCAATTATTTACTCTTGATATAAAATCTAAATGTAGTGCAGAGAAAATATATATAAGTAAAATTTTATATAAATAAAATTTAAATTTAAACAATATTAAATTTATTAATCATGATAATATACATTTTTATATCTGTATTGGTAATTTAGCAATGATTAGCAATTTATTTATGTTGAGAAACATTTAAATTTAATAAACACAAGTAGGACTTGAACTGGCATCGTCATTGTTATGTATAGATGGTCTATCTAATTGAGCTAGTGTCCATCTATATTTTTTGTACATGTGAAAAATAATAAACTTTTTAATAATAATTATAAACACACCTCAGGTAATGATTAAAGATGGACCAGATGAAGAAGGTAACTTCTTTGAGAGGCCTGGAAAACTATCGGATTACTTCCCATCGCCATACCCCAACGAAAACGCAGCTAGGGCGGCTAACAATGGTATATTGATTTTTAAAAAAAATTTCAGACCAGTATTTTTAGTTACTTGATTTTAATTAATTTAGGAGCTATATATTTAGATAAATAGCCAACAAGTAAAAACATGTCTATAGTTTACGCAAGCACATTTAAATAAAATATTTTGATGGCCTAAAATGCAATGAGTTAAACTGATTTCAAAATGATTTTTAACTTCCTGTCTACCTGTGACCATGGCTGCTGCAAAGCATCCGAAACATCAGGCCGATGTTTAAAGTGTTTTATTTAAAAGTAAAAACATATCGTTGTACCCACTACAAGTATTGATTATGTAGTAATAGAGATGTATAAATATTGTATACTAGCATTCAATAAGGAAAACTCACTTAATATTTCAATAATTTATAAACTTTATGTGCATTATGTGTTTATGTAGATAATCGAAGTACTACTTCTATTATCTACACCTCTTCTGCTATGATATTACAGATTCGTTTTTCCTTTTCAGGTGCATATCCACCTGATCTATCCTTGATTGCATCTGCCCGCCACGGAGGCGAAGACTATATATTTGCGCTGTTGACCGGCTACATGGACCCACCGGCTGGTATAGTTCTCAGAGAGGGACAGAACTACAACCCATACTTTGCTGGTGGAGCTTTATCTATGGCTCAAGTACTTTTTGACGAGGTAAGTTAAGTAATATTAACCTTATAATAATTTGGCTTCTATAGAAGACCAAATTATTATAAGGTTAATATTGATGATGAGCATTTAGTTAGAAATAGAAGGTTTGTTTTAAATACTCTCATAATTTACTAATAATATTAAAATTAGGCTGCAGAATACTCGGATGGTACACCAGCCACTGCCTCGCAGTTAGCTAAGGATATTTCAACTTTCCTCCGGTGGTGTTCTGAGCCGGAACTCGACGACCGACGCCTCATGACCATTAAAGCCATTGGAATTTTCTCAATGCTCGCTGCAGTTGTCTACTACTACAAGCGACACAAGTGGTCCGTACTCAAGTCACGCAAACTAGCCTATAAACCAGTCTCTAAGAAATAAAAATGTAGAACTATAAACATTTTAGACAATTTTTATTTTCAATAGTACGGTTACATGTTATATGTTTATATTATAATTAAAATAATTTATTTTATAATCTGGCGTTTATTTCCTTGGTTACCAAACTGCCTGCTTTGGTGCGTGATATGTAATTTATTGTTGAATGAGGCACAGGACTTAACATAGTGATATTGTAACTGTGCTAAGTGATATTCCAGTATCAACTGTAAATCAGTGTACAGTCAATAAATGAGTTATTGAAAATTATTGTAGTTTTCATGTTTTATAAAAAGTCCTATCTATTCTTCTGCTATATGAACTGAAATGAAAGAAGAATTAAGCCTAAGGCATATTTAAAAAATTACGACGCGACTCTTCGACGGACATCGCGGGCCCTTACAAATGTTATTGACATTCACAATTGTATCTAACCTAATCTTTAAACATTATTCATTTTGTAAATTATTATTATTGTTATTTGATAACTACATCCAGACTTTCGGCCTCTACGTCCATATTGAACCGGATCAAAGGAAATAATAATATATATTAATATTTTATTTACTACGAGACCGCGGTGCAATACAAATGAATCATATAGTCCTTTTAAAATTAATATGACTATGTTGGCCATGTGCTAGCAAAACTGAGAAGGCTATTTGAATGTATTTTCTACATTATTTATTTAACGATACTTCTAGGTAATCATAAGCAACAGCAAATAATTTGTTTAAACTATTTTTTTAGTCATAATTTACTATTTTCAAATTATAATTTTATTTTTAAAAACTCCGTTAAACCTTACTTGGCATAAAGTTTATGCCAAGAATTTAGAATACAATATAGGTGATATTATATTGTATATTATACTTCTGCAAGTTAATACGGTCACGCTTTTATTTGCCAGAGTCTATTATGCCAATACATAATGTGCAGAAAAAGTTTGACAATGCACATGTTTTAACTGACGCTGACAGATGACTTTTTTATAAATATTAGATGTTGAATTCTGTTTCAGTTTGTTTTTATTTGCAACTATGTTTTGAAACAACATCGTAATAAATTGTGTTTGGGACTTATTTAAGTTTATATTCATTTATTCTTATATCATGAACGCTATTATTGGTTTATGTCACTTTTGCGAGGCTCATGGACCAAGACCACTTTTTTGTACATTCACAACCGATGATGATAGTCGCACTACGGAATCCTCCAAATGTCCTGTTGAATGTAGCGGTTGCACTTCCCTTGGCCCAGATACAGTTTTGGTATCGAGAGATCATAATGGTTTGATATATTGCAGTCGAGAATCTGTTCCCAATGACGATGTAACTGCATTTCTGCGACAGGCTGCTTTGAGAAGTATAACTTGTGAAGTAGGTATATACATAACACAATTGTATGTCGATACTTACTAAATTATAGAGCAAATATCTTAATAATTTTTTCAGGTAAGCTGGAGTAAAGATGGTGGCATTGTGTACTTCAGTGACACACAAGGTCATGTCTTAAGCTATATGTTTCACTTGAAAGATACAAGAGCTAGAGGTTTAAAGAGATTGTTTTCTATAGTAGTACTAATGAAAGATAAAATGTATCTCCTTAATATAACTCCAGTTTTATCTGAGCACATGAAGGTAATATAAGTGAATATTAAACCCTACATGTATATATATTTCTCGAGAGTAAAAAAAATATTGCTTGAAGTAAATTTTGTTTTGCAGAAAATAGCAAAGGAGCTTCAACAACTTGCCGAGTCTGTTTACAATAATGAACAAAGTATATGTTCTCAAAGAGCATTGAGATTAAAAACAGGGAAACATGATTTTGGCCAATCGCGGTCATTAATGCAATTAACAGGTAAATTATAATCCCAATTTCTATAGATTTTAATTATTTACAACAGATTAATCTAGAGGTTAAGTTTTTTATTAAAGACACTGTTGTCCTATTTGATAACAAAAGAAAACATTACAGACGAAAAAGACATTTTCAAAAGGCTGCACACTCACTTTACTTGGATGTTAAAAACGGGAGCTCTCATATATTCAGAAAACTTATACACTAGCCAGGATTTGCTTAACAAATTACAACCGTTAAGTACAAAAGGCACCATTTTTGAAGATCCTTGCCTGTTGGAACCTATTAATGAAAGGATTTCTCTAAGAGAAGTAGAGAAAGAGTTGTCTAAAGATGTTTTTAGAATTATAATTTATTGCATATTAACAGGCATTAAGGTAGAATCTTGTTGGGTCAATATTAAACTATTTAGTTAGTACATCTGAATTATTATTTAACTTTTTTTTTTTCAGATTGTGATTATACCTAATCAAACTGATTGTGAAAGGATTAAAAATGCATTCACAATCCTTCTTCCAAAATCAAATAAATGTTTGAATATTGAAATTTGTTCAAGTCATAATGTTACACAGTCTGCTAATGTGTGTATTTTGGAAAAATATGAGAACAAATTCTATTGCAAAATGAATAATGTCCCATTGAAGTGTAAGTACAGGATTCTACAAATTTTTGTAACCGCTGCTCTACCAAATAAATTTTTAAACTCTTTTAGATCCCACACTAGTGAATAAAATAATAAAAGCTATGGATAATGAAAAGTTCACCGATGCAGTCTTGGCTCAGCATATGAAATCCTTGCAATTGGAGTGGTTGGGGTATGTTTGCTTAGTTTATTATTCTTATTGCTGTTAAAAAGAGTAAATTGCTAAAAAGAGCTGTCCCAAATGGCATATAAAACTAACATGTCATTATATTTTTCAGTATAGCAAAAACACTGAAAGCATCAGTTCAAGCTTCAGGAGAAAAATCAGATAGTGTAAATAACTTAAAGAGAGTATTAGGAGTATCCCAAACTGATGAAATTCTTGTAAAGCATTGGATGGACAACTATTGTGATTGATGTTTCATAACTGTGATATATTTTAAAGAATAAAAATAGTATTTACACAATGTCCTTTTTTGCATAGAATAAGATACCATAATACCATACCATATTATACAATGAAGAGTCACAATAATTAAAAAAAAATTGAGATTTTTGTATAACTGTCTAATATTCATTAGCATACCTAAATTTCTATATCTTGGCAGAGTATCATATAATACTTAGAAGGGAATAAATTAAATAAAAGCCAAATATAGGTAGTAGTCCTTATATTAAGATTACTTGTTAGAACGACGATGAGGTCTAGCACGTTCCAAGCCCTTTGAGCGCACATAAGGCTTAGTGTGTGATCTTGGGGCTCCAGGAGCCGGTCCAAAGTGACGGACGGCTTCACGAGCATTCCTTCGGCCCTGAACAAGCACTGTTTTACTCCCAGTAGGTGAACGGAGAGCAAGCTGGTCAAATGTTAAAATTTCACCTGAAAATTATTTGTTAATAAACATATTGCTCTGAGGACAATCTCAAGTCTGTATATATTATATATGGAATGAATTTTAAAATCATCTGATTTTACTATGTGTAATAAAATTAAATTCCTAAGTTGCAAGTGTAGTTCTTTGAGAGTTGGAATAGTATATTATGAAAATGCTTCTTAGATAATGTAATTTTTTAGTACATTCAGAATAGTTTATAAACTGTATCTGTAAAAATGCTATGAGTACTTTATATATAGAAACAGTACCAAGCATCATAACAAAAATGGGCTCACGAACCTCCAGCAGCCAAAATACGGGCCCGTGCCTTCTCAGTAACGTGTAGAGCTGCTACAGTCAATTTGGGGACAGTGTACAGCCTCACATCATTGGTGACAGTACCAACAACTACAGCAATCAAACCTTCCCTTGTGGGTTTCTTCATGTGGCGTGCCAGACGAGAAAGGGAAATAGGTGCACGATTAATGCGGCTCATAAATAAACGGCGTAGGATAATCTGATTAAACTTAGCATCAGTACGTCTTGCCAAATATCTGTACAGCTGAAAACAAAGATAGGTTATATTTTTGATAATGAAAATTATTCGTAAATATGAAAAGCATCAAGAAAATTCGTATATCCAGCATACTCATGCTAATTTTACCTTGACCAGCAACCTAAGGTACACATCCTTAGATTTAACTTCGGTGCGCCGTACTTTCCTATCGTGTTTATGGTTGATGTCGACACCCTGAAATATATAACGGAACACATCTTTATTTCACTGAATTGACAAAATACCGCTGTAAATATTCACTTCATAACTGCATCGTTGAGATTTTTATTGATAAATTTTTAAATTCCTTAAAGCAAAACCCACCATGTTGACAACCGGGATGAAAAAGAGGCTATTGACAATAAACAAAATTTGAGGCTGACGTTGACATATGGAATTTTAAATATGACAGATCATAATGACTGTGTTGCTGCTAACAAAATAACTTTGTTGCATTAATTGGTTATTCGTATCAGCACCACAGACTATGTCATTTACAATTATCAACACTTGCAGATACAAGTAATATTAGATGTATACTGGCATACAACCGAAATTGGAATAACTTTCATTTAAATCCAAAAAAGAAATAAATAAATTAAACTGCAGACAGCTATGTCACCGGAACGAATACAAAGTTTCGACCGCCGTTTTTTCGAAAGGGATGGAATTTAATTCGAAACATCGAAAATTATCAAAAAATAAAAATTTCGTTCGTACTCCTTCATCTACTAAGACCAGGTTAACAAAAAAACGAACTGTTATAAGAAAACGAAAATGTGTGTGCTTACCAGAAAATTATTCAGTGGTTGAATTTCCTCCTATTTGGAATGAGCTTAGATTAAACGATCAACTATGCGACGGCACAATAGTTTGTCGAGACATGAAATCAATTTGCGTTCACCGAGCAATTCTTTCCGCAGTCAGTCCGTATTTTAAAGTCCTTTTTATAAATTCCCTGAAGAAGGGAGAGCCAGAAGAAAAGGAAATATTTGTAGATGTTCCGAGTTGTTACATGGGTTTAATTCTAGACTACGCATATACCGGTACGTGTTCTGTAACAGCTGATAACGTGCAGTGTTTATTACCATATGCAGATCAATTCGACGTCGTCGGTGTCGTACAGTTGTGCTGCCAGTTTCTACTAAAAGAACTGCAGCCCCATAACTGTCTTGGAATATTTAAGTTTGCTAGATGCTATTTTTGTAACGATTTAGAAAAAAAGGGAAAACTCTACATAAGACAACATTTTTCTAAAGTTTTAAAAGAATGTAGCGAATTTAAATCGTTGTCATACGAAGAATTGGAAGATATACTGAGAGATGACGAACTCAATGTACGAAATGAAGAAGTCGTTTTTCAAGCAATCAAGACGTGGGTAGAACACGACTTAGAGAATAGAAGAAAGTTTATACCTTCTCTATTAACTTGCGTACGTTATGGTCACATCAGTTATAAATACTTTAAGTCGAAAATACTACAATGGCAGCCTGTGGTGGAAGATGAGGTATGTATAAAACAATTCTGCCTTCGTACATCCTTAGTACCTACCTGCTCCGAAATGCTAAAGGGAAGAAGACATACGGATTTGTTAGTCAATTTCCGTATTCTATTTTGGTGCTTAAAATACTAAATTAATTTGATTTTAATGAATAATTCTTATGACATTGGCTTATATAAATTCAACCCATTTATCCTGCGTTTGGTAACTAAATATTACATGTAATAATGTATAGTAGGTAATAATGCTTAAACATGTGATTTTGCGGATTACCCCCTAAATATTACTTAGTTGAAAACTTTACTATCTTGCACATGAAGGCAAATATAATTTGAAAATCGAAAATGAAAATTGAAAAAAAAATTTGGCGATGCCGGTTCATGTCCTGCCAGAGACGATTTTTTTTCAATTTATTTTTGATTTTTAAACTATTACTTAGTTATTTATAGCTTTTTAAATCACTACTTGGTGTTGCCAGAAATGTCAAGAAGCGTTGTACCCAGCGGTTGTGTTCCTGACAGTTTTGGATTCGCGGCCTGAAACCGAAGCAGATCTAAACGATCCGTTGGCGAGGCCACGCATCCCGTATGAAATTCTCTTCGCTGTCGGTGGTTGGAGCGCCGGGAGCCCAACGAGTTTTGTAGAAACTTATGATACCAGGTTATCTCAGGGTTTTTATGATACATGAGGATAAACAAGCAAATGGTTCATTTGATGAAGGGTGAAATATCACGGCCATATAGCATTTCACTAAGATGCGCTGGCGACGTGTATTTTGGCTTTGGACATTCGAAAATCCACAAACAGCGTTTTCATCTGTAGAAGTCGGTGTCATAGACGGAATTTCGATATCCCCCCACACGGAATGGGGTCTCCATTCAAAGATACATAATTCTCCTCGTTTTTTTACAGAGCCGACAGATGGTTCCTTTCAATCCACATGGATCTCTCTCCACGCGCCTACCACGGCCTCTGTGCCCTTAATAACTTCATATACATGATTGGTGGGTTTGATGGTAGTGATCATTTTAACACAGTGCGGTGCTACGATCCTGTCACCAACACTTGGCACGAACGAGCCTGCATGTATCAAGCCAGGTGTTACGTTAGCGTCGTTGTTCATGGTAGGTTAATTTACAACGGTTTATCACGAAATATATTAGGATTTTAATTATAAACGACAAGCCGACTGTGGTGACGATAGATATTATTCGTCTATTTCCCATTTTATAAATAGGTACTAACAGACAGACAGGCAATAATGTAAATAATTAAAAATTCGGGTGGGACTTGAACCGGCATCGTCAGAGTTCCGTGCTGTTTCCCTAACTACTGACTCGGTAGCTCACTTGATTGGAGTAGCGGCACGGAACGCTGACGATGCCGGTTCAAGTCCTGCCCGGATCGTATTTTTTTAAAATTTACATCGATTTTTAATTTATAAACTTAGTGCCATCACGTACAATAACATGTGAAAAAATATTAAAAGTTTTCAGATAATTATGTGTAAAGTGTGACTAATGGATATGACTAATTACACATTTGTGGTTCATAGTATTCTTAAAAAGTTTAACTTGCGTAGATTAGATTGATAATATTTGTGTAATAATTTTAGGCGTTCATTTTTATTTTTAGATGGTCTTATTTACGCACTAGGGGGTTATAATGGAAGGACTCGGATGTCCTCAGTAGAACGATACTATCCAGATAAAAATCAATGGGAGATGACCACTTCTATGAATAAACAGCGTTCGGACGCCAGTGCAGCATCTTTGGGTGGAAAGGTAATCAAAGATTTTTAATATACTGTCACTCTTAAATTGGTGGTCAAATTGGCTACCAACAACAATAGTGATAAAATAATTTCGTCGTAAACACATTCGTATATAGGTTTAAAGTCCTAATCAATTAATTTTCTTTTAACTACCCACATGAATATTTTTCTACCTACATTTGTATCTGTTTTTGTAGATATATATAGTAGGTGGTTTTAACGGCCAGGAAGTGTTGAGTTCGGCTGAAGTGTTCGACCCTGAAACGAAGCAATGGAGTTTCATCAGATCGATGCAAAGCCCGCGGTCAGGCGTCAGTCTTATAGCTTACAGAGATTCCTTGTACGCTCTTGGCGGTTTCAATGGTTACAGTCGTCTTAATACTGGTAATAAAACACTTTTAACGGTTTAAAAGTAATATATTTCCATAAACAAACAAACAAAAAATTCTTTATTTTCACCGTAATGTTACAAAATAAAACTTAGTTTAAAATACCAAAATGTAGCGAGAAAAGGCGGCCTTATCGCTAAAAAGCGATTTCTTCCAGGCAACCTTGATAATAAGTTTATACAATACTAAGTATTTTTTAAAGTTTGACTTAATAATTAAAATAATTTACCCAATCAAATCTGTTAACCATGTACATAAGCAGCATATTTCACCGAGACGACGATTCAGAGGTTATATTAAAAAATATTTATACAAAAGGGTTTTTAACTTATATTTAAAGCTTGATAGTGACTGCGCTTTTCTAATCAGAATAGGTAAGGAATTCCAGAGTCTAACACCATGAACTGACAAAGAGTTGAGAGAAGAGGAGAGAAGTATATTTCCATATTAGTTTATTGACCTTTAATTTTGATCCAACGTTGTGTGACTTCGATAGGGACAAGTCAGGGAAAAAAATATTATAAAATATAACTCGCGTAAACTACAAACAATAAACTTAAATATATTGCCGGTAATAATTATAGCTCTAGACTATTTTAAGTGTAACGAGTTAGCAACGAAGTTCTTTGGCATTTTAAAGTCTTATATTCATTATTATAATATTTATGGTGAAGTAGGAGACTAACATGATATGATGAATACCCCAGCCACATAAAATTTAAATAAGATGCGCCGTCGACCTATTTTAGCTTTGAAATTACCGGAGCGCGATTAAACTTCACGGCTTTTACATTCGTGGACAGTGCTTCGTAACCCGGACGAAATTTCGATATGCCTACAACCAGATCAGAGACATCTGGAGATTTACATTTCCTAATGCTATACAACATGTTATAACAAATATCTTAATACTATTATAACTTAAAGCTAAGACATCAGATGTTATAAAATAAGTCATTGTATATTACTTGACAGGGGAACGATTTTGTCCTCAACGTGGGGGCGATTGGCAGGAAGTAACAGAAATGTTCAGCGCTAGAAGTAATTTTGCCACCGTTCTGCTTGACGATATGATCTTCGTCATCGGAGGGTTCAATGGTACCTTATTTTTCTTTTTATGGTAGAGAAGGACAGCTAAGCATAAAGTTCATTTGATGGTAGGCGAAATACGCCAACCATATATACCATCGCAACAAGACGTGCTGTCGTGGTTCTGGATATTCGTAAAAAATTGTACTGAAATTTAAGAACATTACTATATACTTTCAGTGTGAAAACCCAATGTTTATTTTTTCCATATGTTAGGCGTGAACAGATATTTATATGGTTGTTTTCCCGGGTTTCGAACGCAGAACTTTAAACTTATATTCTCGTATAGACTATATATAATTATGTATGTTATTACCAGTTATCTAAATATTTAGGTGTAACTGTTAAAAATAAAGATTAATTCTAATTTTGCCAGGCTCAACGACAATTCCTCACGTCGAATGTTACGATGGCGATACAATGGAATGGTATGACGCTGCACCAATGAACTTAACGAGATCAGCTCTTAGTGCGTGCGTATTAGCTGGACTGCCGAACGCCCGCTCCTTCTCTTACCTCGCTAAAGCTGTTCCAGCAGCCGGCGCTGATCAGGCCCACCATTCCTAAGTCTTGGTGCCTATAAATTTAAAAAATCTCCTGTCACTTAACATTAGACTTTGGAAGCATGAAAATTGTAAAAATTATTTTAAATTACTCTAAAGCCCGACTGCATCGGCATGTTCATACACAACTTAAACAAAGTCAGTATGGCTAGATAGTAGATAAACTAATTTATAACTGCTGTAGGTCACATGTATATATATTTAACTTCTATAACAATTTATCTGTGATATTTTGTATTTGTAACGAATTTTTGTATATGCGAAATCATGATTATTATTGTATTGATTGATAAAATATTGTAATCAAATATTTGTAAACATTTATATGGTATCGGAGAAAACAAGTACACGACTTATATTTTAGATATTTTATTTTCGGAAAGCGTTTGTATATCAAGTTATTGGGTTTGGTACTGCAATTGCATATTTCTTGGAGTTCACATTTTAGATGAGCACGACGCATGGCTGGACCCTGGCGACCTCGCGTTATAAAATTAAATATGAGGACACGACTGGAAATATGCGTCATTTTGTGGTTATGGTTGCCCATGCGCAACCCTCAAAGGTTATAGATTGTTCAAATAATGCTGTCACAATTGGTTAATATTTTAACTTTTTAATGTTTGTAATAAGAAATATACATCAATGCACTTGGTCAGATGAGAGGAGTAAAAAAGCGAAAAAATTTTATTGTTAAAAATTTGTTGTAATCTTGGAAATTGGAAATTGACAAATAAAGTAAAATCAACTGGACTATTGGTTTTATTTGTAGATTAATCAAAGGCCCGACTGGGCTAATTAATAACATATGATTGGACACAGTGCTTTGTAGTAGGTATATACGTGAGTATGACACGACTGAAATACTGAATCGACGTACGTAGGACAGCGAGAGTGCATGCGATCGTGCGTATATTTACTACAGAAGGGGAAATTGGGGAGAAACGGGGTAGGCCCCCCCGCCCTCGTCCCGCACCCCCTTTTCACCCCGAGTGCGGCTGTCTCGATCGAAACACACCCACATCGGTTCTAGTGACCGCCGCATTTGGGCGCAGTCTTTACACAAATAAAAGATAATGGAGTTGAAAGGAAAGGTAGCTTTGATTACTGGTGCGGCGGCTGGGATCGGCCTCTCGTATAGTGAAGAGTTGCTGAAAAATGGGGCTAAGGTTAGTGACCTCGTCATCTTTTTCAAGGAATAGGTTAATAATTCTATAATTGCGCGGCGTAAGTTCAAGGTAAGGAGTTGAAGTTGTATATATGGCATATTATAAATGCACTTTTTAAATCTGTAGAATCTATTTATAGAAACATTTTCTCGGAACATCTCGGTGTTATTTTTTTTATTGATTTATCAGCGGTTAGGCTACGATGCCGGTGCCTTAGTCATAATGTTGGAACAAAAGAACTTTTGACATTTTCATTCATTACTTTTAACGGTTTAAAATGCGAAATGCAATAACTTATTTACAATTTATTTTAAATATTGGCCGGCTTTTCGGGTGCTGGCAGCATCCGTATTCAAGGTGGGACTAATAAGTCGACTAGTTGTTTTTAATATATATTTAACCAATTAATGCAATAATATTAAGCGTATTTAGCGTCACTTCGCAAAAAAAAATACTAATACAAAATAGCACAAATAAATTGTTAAATAGGTAAGTTACTAAATTTCGTTTTTCAAACCGTTAAAAGTGATTAATTTAAAAGCACGTTAACTACAGACAGTACTTTTTGAATATGGTTTTTTGCAATAACATAAAAGTGTTGGGATGAAAAGATTCGATCCTAAAAGCGTTTTAACGCACTTAGCGGAATTAAAATGAGGCCTTTGACACCGTCATGCCTCATACCTACCGTTTGACACAAATAAGCGTTCTATCTACTTAGTCCCAATCCCGGTCAATGTAGAATAATCTCTTAATGTTTTAGTTGTGGATACTTCACAGGTTTCCCTATGCGACATCGATTCTGAAATTGGAGAGCAAGTGGCCGATGAGCTGGGCGTGAAATATGGACGTAAGAACGTGCTTTTTTGCCAATGCGATGTTACTGACTACCCACAATACGAAGGTAAAGTTTCATAATTATATTAGTTTATAAACGAGATATCTGCACATGATGTACACTTGATAGAAGGTGAACCCTGAATGAAAATATTAAAAGTCAAAATAGATTGACAGCGGACCATATTATAAAGATCTTGTCTGTTCTAAATAAAAAAAAATACGCTACCACCTTATACAGTAGGTACTTAAATCACAGACTGCAACCGAAACGGGCTTTACACTTCACGACTTTTCCACCTATTTAACTGGATTGCAAGTCCTATTGTCCAAGATTTACAAATAGTGAGTCTAACATGTGAATCGATCTCACCTGCTTAACACCAGACGTTGCTGCCATGGATCTAACGAACTCATAACAGACTTTTGAATTAAATTATATACTTAACTAGCGATCAGACCCGGCTTCGCTGGTGCAATGCTGATACTAAATATACTATAGAAAAACTGTGAACGTTGAACACTCCTTCCGCTTGATACACTCTACCTTTAAAAAAAAACCGAATCAAAAATCGGTTGGGTAGTTTTAAAGATTTAAGCGCGCATAGGGACAGAAAAAGCTACTTTATTTTATATGCCTACTATATAGTGATGATTTATTAGCGGGCGCATTTTTTTACAGAAGCCTTCGAGATGACAATAAAAGTGTTCAATCGGCTAGATATTGTTATAAATAACGCTGGTGTGATGAACGACCGATTTTGGGAACTAGAAGTTGACGTTAACCTTGTACGTATTTAAAGAAAACATTTATAACGTAACACTTTAGACTAAAAATCTATTTAAATTTAAAAAAACAGATATGGGTGGGATTTAAACTGGATTCCACAGCCTTCTGTGCTTCTACTCTAACCAATTGAGCTACCGTTGCACGATAGTCAATGGGTTAGGTCAAGGTTTTCTTTTATTTGATTTAGCCTTGGTATACATGTTTACTTTTCTACGATTTATTTAAACAACCGTTCCCCAGAAGTAATTATGTCAAAAGTGTTTGTCGCGTCAGTTTCACAATATAGTTTAATTTATGCTCGATATAAAATAATGATGAATTTCAGAACGGTGTTATTCGAGGTACACTGCTGGCGTACAGGTATATGGGAAAAGACCGGGGTGGTCAAGGTGGTACAATCATTAATACCGCTTCAACAGCCTTCGCGAGGCCCCAAGTTTCCACACCCATATACACGGCTACAAATTATGCAGTAGTTGGTCTCACGAGAGCTTATGGTGTAAGTATTTTACATTGTTGAATAAAACTTTGAGTTTGAAATTTTATTAAATTACGATGCTTCGAATGCTTTGCCGTGGTCAGGGGGGGGGACACAGGTAATAAAATAAGTAACGCTTGCGTTGTGTTCGTTTATGTGGGTAATGTAATGATTTTTAGCATAGTATATAAGTCAAATACCCATAGGAACACGTTAACATAGGCTTAAGGATTTTTTTTTTTCAGGATCAATATCACGTAAATCTTACTGGAGTGAGGAGTATAGTTTTGTGTCCGGGCCTTACAGATACGGGTCTTATCAAAGACATCCGCAAGCAATTGATGTCTTCCGAATACGAAGCTGCGTGGCAAAGAGATAATGCAAATTCGAAAACTCAGAGGTAAATGCTAGATAATAATTATATATTTTATGAAACTACCCTCGACCTAGTTAAGTGTAGTAATTGCAATTTTTATCTAAGAAGGCATGGCTAATACGTGGGTCGAAGGTTCTATTACCACTGAGTCCAAATATATTTTTAAAATACATTTATAATTTTCGTAAGTTATAGGCATAATTTAGTAGAAATATCTCGCTGTCGACCTATTTTGGCGTTGGATATTCGTAGTTAGGATCCATATTCTCAGTGTCACGTAGGTACTGTAGATGTCCGCTATAAAAAATTGTCATAAAACCTAACCTTTTCTTCCAGCTCTGAGCACGTAGCGAGGTCACTGATAGAAATTCTTTTGAAGGCTCAAAGTGGTTCCGTATGGATTGTCGAGAACGGCCAACCGGTGCGGGAGTGGCGCGGTTAAATACTTTTACCTATGTACCCACAATTTTTTCTAATATTTTATACTCACTATTTTGATACATTACTTAATGATATTTAATTTTATTGATAATTTGGAAGGTTTTAATCTATCTACTAAGAACCAATCAGTCTAATAGGAAAACAAATCGATTTAATCTTTTATCAAGCGTATGATTTAAAGGTACGCTATTGAGATATGATGATGTCATATCCTAAAAGCCGTTTACTTGTTTCATTCAGTCTAATGAAGGTAGAATAAATTACATATTTGTATGTTGCTGATGTGTACTACGGTGTCCTTAGTATATAAATCTTTAAGTTAAGTGATTATTATATAAGGCTCAAATTAACATAAGCTTATGTGGTTAATCTCTTAGGGCATATTTAATGACAAGATGTCTGTAAGTACTGCTACGGTTATGGCAATATTTTGTTCCGATTCGATCATATATTCAAATAGTCAAGAACACGACGCACCATTTTCTGTAAAATATACTCAAACTTTTCTTCTATTACTTTTTATATGAAGTATCCTCACTTCTATTAAATATAATATTTCGCATTTTATCGATACACCCATCAAGACCTAAATTTCTGCGTAAAATCACGATATTTCTTCACTCATCAATAATTATATTTAGACATGCTAAGCTAATATATTTTTATCAAGTAGTATAGCATATTTTGTACATTTAAAGAACATTGTAATTTTTAAAGATTGATCTTGTTATTTCTCCTACAATCACATTAGTATAATTTTCTAATATTTTTACTACTTAGTTGCTGTACTCATAACTTGGAGAAACTTTGTCAGTTCATAAATTAGATTTCTGTTTAAAGAAACCTAACATCCTGATATGTAGGAGATACGATCAGAAGGTAGCATAATAGCACCTAGATCAGGATTTGCATGCGTAGGTACTTGCAACTTTTGTTAAAAAGATAAGAATAATGTTTATATTCTGTTGCCATTTTTATATTGTTAACTTCTAGTTCGAGTTAGGCTATTTGGTATAAATTGTACAAGCTTAAGTTTTGGTTTGCAATAAAACAATTGTTAAAATATGGAGTTGTTTTAATCAAAATAACTAAGTGAGATATTTTAAATACTAGATTTCTCTGCTCGTATAGCTTTCGATCATTATATAGTTGGTCAAAACGTTGCCTCAAAATATAATAAATAAAAATGATCGTTGTCAACGCTTTAGAACGCAGTCCATTTCTTGACAATCATATTTTATTTCACACCGTAAGCTCTGAGGTAAAATCTAGTGGTCGGGCAATCGACAAAGTGTCGAAGCATTCAGTTATAAATCTGTCCAGCAGAATCACCAACTCCAGAATTAGGAGTGCCTGTCATCAAAGTAACGAAACAGAAGTGAAAAACTACTTTATAGGCACAACTGCGAACTGTGACAAACTATGAAAATATACCATTCTATTGGGCTCCAAACTGTTCCATGAAGGCCCTCGAATTCAACTATATTTAGTAGACGGTAGATTACAAATCGAGAATTTAACTCCCAAGGCATTCATGAAACCGTTATATGTATAAATAAACTTTGTATAGGCAATTATTAGCTTCAAGAAAGGCTTCACGGACACCTTTTTACATTACAATACTTGATATTTTAAAATCAACTTGTGACCGCGATACAGGCTCACCGAAGAAGCAATCATGCAGTATTACAAGATTTAAGACTACCCTAACATTACTCAAAAGAACAACTTGTAATTCACGCTTGAAACTCAAACTTTGTTGTTAACCTACGTTCTTAGTACACAAAGTCAGTCTTATAATGTGTCATATCTTTTTACAAAGTAGTTGATTAACAAAAAAGTTTGTGTCAAACAGCATTTTAAAATCATTGAGTGAATTCAGGTAGTGACGGATCACAGTTTACATAAGTTACAACACTGCTCTTAGTGCTTAACCGTGAGATGAGCCATCAACATATAATAGCCCAATCGATATTAAGTTCTGGACGAAGTTTTCGTTCTCACGGGAATTTCTTAACACCTTCCATTTATTGGATACAACACTGTCACACCAAAGCAATGTCCAACACTAAAATCTAACTATCAACAAAATCATTCCCGTGCCATTTGAACATTTATATCACTTTAAAACATGTATTTATAGTTGTTTATAGTCTTTTCCGTAAAAACATTAAGATTCTGCATACCCTCCCTATATCCAAACTCCTACTTGGCTGTAACAAAAAGTTAATATTAAAAATAGGTTCAGTACATTGCCTTAAAGCATGATTTTAATTATCCTTTGTACATTTTAACTGAATAAATTGCAAAAAGTAACATAAATAAAATGCTGCTAATTGGAACACTGTTTGGATAAACAGAATAGGACTTATTTTTTCTTTGAAAAGGAAGGGACTTGACTTATATATTATTCGGTTAGCTGAAGATCCTTTCAGTATTTGTATGTAAAATAGTAAAGAAAATAAATCAAAAGAACAGATCCACGAACCAGTAGTAGCTGCAGGAGCAGGTTGCTGAGGTGCGGCCACCGGAAGTTGGTTGTTGCGCTGTTGACGGTGGTTGCTATGGTTATTGTTGTGGTTGTTGTGGTGCTGATGGTTGTTGAAGTTGCCTGGGCGCCCACGTCCACCACGCATCGGCCTCCAGCTTGGGAAGTATGCCATCCTATGTATTAAGACAGCAAACTTTAATAAATATCATTCAAAAACGTAATATTATAACAATTCACTATTAAAACATTATGATAGCCTTTACAAGGTATTATATATTTCAGAGGTATTAAATGACAATAATATAGAATTACGTAATAGACGGTACGGTGGCATTTATTCATTATGTACCCAAGAAGAAATGATTGTACCAAGTAGAAGTGGGGAGCAATAATGAATTCTTCAAAAGTTTAAAAAGAATTCCTTGGCGAATAATGTCTGTTTATAAAAAAATAAGTTTTGTTTTTACACTAAATCAAGGAAATGTACTAACGGATGTTGGTTATGCATGTTATGCATATTGTGAGGGTTGTGTGGGTTATGGGGGTTGTGCCTCCAGGCAGGTCGCCCACGCCACGTGCCGCGCCTTGCAGACGCAACGCCGAATGTTTCAGAGTTCAACTTGCGTTCAGTCCGCCAATCCGTCCTTTGGCTGCGACCCTTTTGCCTGTGACAGTTACAAAACCTTACATAGTACGTTGACTTGACACACCTTTTGAATAGTCAAAAACCTTTATTTCATAACATTTTTTATGTAATTACGAGATTAAATATAAGTATGTACAAAGTTTTGCATTTGATTGTCTTTAGCTAGAAAGTAGTGGCTTTAACCATTTCATCTCTAACAGAAAAAATATTTCTTAATTGAGATTGTGAAAGTTCATCAAAGGATAGAATATTTTTAAACTTGGGTATTATTAGTTTAGTGGAATATAATATGGATGAAACAAGATTAAGGTGACTTTCAAAGTTAAACATCTCTATAGAAAATGAATGAAGGTGTAAGTTGGTTCTGTTATATCAAAAGTAGGACAAATATGACAATCGGGAGAACTTTCTGAATAAAAACTAACCTCTCAACAGCTTCGCACGAAATGTTATCGAAGAAGCTTCGCTTCTTGTCATAGCCAGTAAAATCTTCCTCGACATCTGGTTCCCCAGCACCAGTTTCATTTCCAGAGTCATCCTTCTTGTCCACTTCACCCTGCTCAACTTCGTGCTTCAAAGAGATTTGCTAATTAGTGTAATTTTGAAAACATATACATCTCAATTATATTGATCCATAGTAAAACTGAGAGAAATGTACAAACAAACAAACAACTTGTTTCCCAATACTATTACCAAATAACAAGAAAATTTAACTGAACGGTTATAGCATTGGAATTCCAAAAGTTTTATGTTACTAATTGTGGCGATAGGTGGTGGGATTAGGTTAATAATAAATATATGAAATGGAGTCCACTAATGTTTATGAAGGATGCAGATATTTACCTCAACCTTGGTCTCCCCATCGGATATCTTAGCTTTGGCAAGTTGATTCCTCAGCTCCTCAAATTCTGTGTTAGCTTGTTCGAAATCATAATCGTTCTCAAACTTCAACGTGTTCCCTTTGCGCGGTACAAAGCCACGACCGCGACCCCGGGACCGACCTCTCCAACCGCCACGATTGTAGTTTTGGCCTGTAAACACAAAAACGAATTAGTATACATACATACATAATATGTAACTTTTTTACAAATACAAATAAACGCTGTTTTGTCTTCTTCGCAGCTTACAAACCAAATTTATTAGTAATAACTTAATTTTTAATGTACAGTTAACTGTCGATTATCAGTAGTAACTAAAAAATAAATGTTGTTGGTTACAGTTTAAGTATGTTATAGAGATTTGTATTATTAAGTTTGTTTCTATATTTTAACCAAATATTTTGCCAAGATATTAATAAATAATAACTTGTAAAATGTCTTTTATTTCGAAAATGATGACTATTTTTTAAATTGTATTGATAAATGCTACTTAGTTAGTTTAGACTGATGTGACATCACAATGAAAAGCGGAAGCTCCTCCAAAGCACAGCTGCTGCCTATCAAATCAATGTGCCTTACTTTCAACAAGCTCACCGGTCTGGTGGTGATTGTGGTGATGTTGGGTCTGCGACTGCTGTTGCGTCTGTGACTGCGCCTGCGCCGGCTGCTGCTGTGGCTGGGTCTGCGACCCACTTGAGTGCCTCTGCCGACTGCGAGAACTTGGTCGTCGCACCGGCTTAGGACCGGTTGCAACACGTCGTGACTCCCGCTGGCCGGAACTACTCGCGCCTGATCCAATCTGCTGATAATCAGCTTATTTAGCATATTGCAACTGACGGGTAACTGTTTTCCTTCAGACAAATGTGAACTTAGCAATAAGTGCAGGTTATTGCATATAATTCCAAATTCCAGAAGCTTTAAAAATGCTTACAGTGTGTTCATACAATATTTTAAGTAAATATGGATGAGGCTAGAATCTAATGTGAACTTTTACCTGGGTACCCTGATCAGCAGTTGGGCTCTTTCTGTGTCCAACAGCAGCGGGAGTCCCAGAACGTGAAGCACTTTGTTGTGAACCTCCTCCTCCGATGAGATCTAGCATGGAACCTACATGAAATATTATTTTTTAATTTTATATTTGAAGTATAGTAATTTATAGTAGTGCTGTGAAACGGAAATTGAATAGAAGATACTATAATGCTACATCTAAGCAATTTATATTCTTAAATACAAGACAAAACAAGCATGACACGAATATGCAAAATAATGAAGTGAAAGAATATTTTCATTATGTCCCAAATGAAAATGCATAACAAGTTTGAAAATTATGAACATAGAAATAAAAATAAAATTATCTTCAAGTAGCAGACCAAGGGTTGCATTTACTTGGTATTTTGCGATTTTATATGTACATAATGTTAGTAATATAATAGTTAAATGTATGGTATAAATATTTGTAAATGTGAGGAAATGATTATAAAAGAAACTAATGTCATAAACTAAAAGTATATACATATTAATACATAATTATAACATTATGGGAATGATATTTCATATAATTCAGTCATAAATAAATGTGTTATTTATGGAGATAATTAAATTAGTTAGTGAACAGTTTTATGACTGTATCATATTTAGAAACTAAATTAAAGTGAGAGGCGAGGGTTAGATGGTAGCTAAAAAATCGCAAGATAGCACATAGCGAAAGCAAATTTATTTTTAAAGAAAAACCTTGGTCTTTCACTTGGTTGTGGTGTACAATGCCAGATCCAATTGGAGCTGTTACAGGCTGCTGCGGAGCTAGATCCACAGATGTCTGAGGGGACAACTCACTGGTCTTGTTGAGCTGTGAATGTACACCACTGGGAAATCCTCCCATTGGATGATATTGAGGATACTGGTTCTGTCCGATGACGGGATGGCTGTACTGTCCCACGAACTGGCCCTGATTGCCGGTACCCAACGATGGTGGTACCGACATTTGAACAATTGCCGGGTCATTGGGAAGAGACGGCACATTGTTCAGCACTCGGATGTCTTTAATGTCAGATCCTCTGAACAAGATGTAATCATATACTTGGCTCTGAGGTGCTACTGGAAACTGGGTTTCGCGATCTTCAGTTCCAAATGATCGTACTGCAAAAAAAAAAAAATAGTAAGCTTAAAATACTATGCACTGATTTACAGGGTAGGAAGTGAAAAATTATATAAAGTTCTGTACAATGCCATAATAACAATATTCTCTTAAAACATACATATAACGTCGAACTAGTACTAAACAGCAGGTAAAAAATATTTATTCCTTTGAAGGCTTGTTTATTATGCTATAAAATTATCATTGCAATTACCAGTTAGGTAGATGTTTGAATCTTAACAAGAATACAATAAGAATTCCATTAGTTCCTTTAGTTAATACCAGTGTGTAACATCTAACAAGAGAAAATACAAAATCGCCATCTACGTCATCAAAGTAAAACTTGGATTTAGAAACCGACAACTATTACGCGGGTAGTTAATATTTAACAATGAAAGGGCGATTACATTGTATTAATACTAATAAATCTAAATACCTACGTACAATTAGGGATTAAAACGAAAACATAAAAGCAGCGTACCTGTCGAATAAGAGGGAAAAAGAAATTTCTACGAATACAATCCTGAGAAATTGATTCCTAGTTTTGAACTTTAAACTATTTATGCATGATTTTTATCGAAACAGCAATAATAATTATTTCCAGGGATTGTGAAACTGAACAAACATCAAAATAATAGAATCCATTTGTCAACTTACCGCTAGCTAAAGCTATTGTGCATTCCTGAGGATCAACGGTGAAAAGTCGGCCCTCGTAGCGAATGTCGGCTTTAGATATTAGGCTTATTTTGGAGCCTAATTCAGGCATTCCCGAACTCATTTTGTCACTTTTTAAAATAACCCTCGATTAAAAAGATTTTTATTGATTGCATAAATCGTATACTAACTTCTACGAGCAAAATGATCACACAAAATGACTGATCACTGGCAGGAAGTTGGCAACAAGCGTCTACAAAACAGCTGTGAACACAGATTAAAACAACCGGCAAAGTAAGAGTAAGATTTTATAGATAAAACCTTATAGAAATCTTCTAAGGATTTGTCTATGGAACTTTCTAGAAAATGATTCTAGGAACTTCTCATTTATTTCTTTAATTGAAAAACTTTTTGATTAAATTACATTCTGTTTAATTAAAATATTTTTTCTCTATTATTCACATTATAATAATCCATAGGTTTTATTTTTGAATTATATTTATGAAACGACCACTAAAACAACTGAATAGAGCCGGTTACTTACAATAAATAATATTTCAGTGTACTCAATATATATTATGTAATGCACGAAAATTGTTCCAGTGCATTTATTTTTAAGGACCCATCAATCGATTAATAATATTTATAACCACAGACATCAGACACCGACATTGAATATTGATAATTGACATTCATGGTTGTGTAAATTGCATGAAACGTAAGAATTTCAAACATAAATTTTAAAAGTCCGTTAGAGTTTGTAAATACGAATCATATAAAGTTATATATTAACTATCCTGTCGTGATAAGAGAGAACATAATAGTCTTAAGTAAATTTTGAATGAACGGTTATGGAAGACAATATTTTAACATCTACGCCACTGCGGCCGGTATCCAGGATAAGTATTGGCGGGAGTTCTTCACGAAGGCGAAGTCTTATACCGCAGAGTCGTGTAAAAGCCGTCCGTGATCAGGTTCGTAGCTCGGTCTTTATTTTTGTCCGTTGGTAGGCACCTCTATCTAAAGTTAAATTAATTTTAGGAACGTAATGATGACGATGCCGAGAGGTCATCTTTGGTTGCTTCAGAGAAGGCTATCACTTCTTCTCCGCAAGCATCACCTAGGAGATTGCGAGAAACAATGACGTCGTCACCTATGAAAGAGCACTACCAAGGATGCCTAAAATTATATGCAGAAAATGTATGTACACTTCTTGGTTTCTTCAATATAGGACATATTGAAGAAAAACACAATATTTACAAACAATACAATTATTATGAAATCTTTATTGGTATTGTATATTTTTTCAGAAAATAAACAAAGAGAATGCATGGAATCTACAATTGATAGACTTTATGACAACAATGATGCATCGTCATGATGCCAGGATGGACAATTTCCAAACAGCGTCCACCTTAATTGATGCATCTTCTAAAATTTATTCGTTTCGAGTAGATGCCGTCCATTATGATGCTCTCAAAGTTGCAGGAGGATTAAGCAAAGCAGCTCAGGTTTGTTGCTTTTGATAAAATAATATATAATTTTTTTATGTGTATTGGATATATTTAAAACTATCTCAATTGTAGAGTAAAAGAGGTAAAAAGGATGACGCAGAAGCTAACATTGATGGAGAAGTGGAAGAGGGTGCTACGGCAGCACCTAAGAAAAAGAAAAAGAAATCTAAGGGTGTTATAGTTGCCAATCCTGAAACTCTTAATGGAGATTTTGAGACCAATGATTTTGTTGGTAAATAATATTCTATACTAAGTTTTCTCATGTACACAGTGTACACTAAAAGTAGATTGAAATAATTTTTTAATTGCTTATGAATATACAGGTTATGTCAGACTTATTACATTTAAAATTATTTCCAGAAAGAAAACAAAAATTATAAACGCATAGATAAATTTTGATAAAATTTAAAAAATAACAAAGCCTTCATAAAACGTAAATATCACATTATTTATTCATAACTTGTCACAACATATATAATATAAATAGAGTAATTGTAATTTTTCTAATAAACTTAAACCACATTCTATTAAAATGAAGTCTGACTGCAACCTAACGCATCATTGCAATGGTATTGAATAATTGCTATTAAATAAAATAAAGCAAGTAATCAGATCTCTTTTCATCAATCTGATTCTAAACTCGAAATATATTTTACAGATCCATTTTTTGAAAGACTAGCAGCAAGAAGTGGTGATGTTACATCTATAAACAGAGCATTTAATGCTACCTTACCCATTCATAATAGGACGTTAGCATTGATGTTAAGGTTTGTTTCTTAGAAGTATTTAATAAAAGGGGGGAAGTCAGAGCTCAGACCCAACATGCTGGAGGGCTTTATGACTCCGCCTATATTGACCAACCGTTTATTATGACCTCATTACGCTGCATAGTTTGGTTTTCATGTAAAATTCTTTATTAAAAAGTCGGATATAAAGACTTCCCTTACAATGACAAGTCACTTATTATGACCCATTTACCTACTGTAGAAGAGGCATTAAAAGTTGCAGAATTATTATCACGAATTGTTCAAAGCAATATTAAAAATGATAATTTGACCATAGCGATGGCTTCTATACACAAGAATATTAGAGACAGTTTTTATAATAAAATGAAAAAACAAAAGCCAACAAAAATTATAGATTACTTACATTAAAAAATACATTTGTATGGGTATAATTTACTTATTACGTGCAATTTTTGTTTTCATTTAATATGTATGTTTACATATGTAGTTACTATGTTCCTCTATTAAAATACATACATAATTATATAAAAAACTTTTTTTTTTTACAAAACGCATTGTATGACGTCCGCTTATTATGACGTGTTTGTCAATCCCTTTCGATTTAAATAAAACACTTTAACGGTTTAAAACGCGATATATTAGTTAAACTTATTTGAAAATGATTTTTAACTTCGGCCCGACGTTAAAAATCATTTTCAAATAAGTTTAACTAATATATCGCGTTTTAAACCGTTAAAGTGTTTTATTTAAATGTGTACTACTCGCGTAAACTATAGACAGTATTTAATCCCTTTCGATGTCATTATAAACGGATTCAACTGTATTTAGAATTAATTTAATGTAAATGTATATAACATGTAATGAAAATACATATTAATAAGGATCAATTTTTACAGAACAGATTTACCATTCCTCAAAAATAACAAAGAACCTTTACCTGCCGTTGATTGGTCTGAAAGAATTACAATTCCCAAAAAGCTGTTTCCTGCATGGACAGAAAGCAGTCATATTTGTGAACCATTTACTGGATTTTCTATTACTAATTGGGATCCTGATACAGAAGACACGTAAGTATTGTATATCCTTACTAATATTATAAATGCGAAAGTAACTCTATCTGTCTGGTACTCTTTCACGCCAAAACTACTGAACGGATTTGAATGAAAAGAATAATGTTATTACTTCAGAACGGGAGATAAATTCACGGTAGTCGATGTGACTTAGAAAATTTATCTCGTAGTGCAATCTAAACTCAGTTAATAGTTGTGATAAAATATTTAAATTTTTTAGACATACGCGCGTGAACGACTGGATAGATGACAACAGATTAAACCTATCCCAGCAAGCTCTCGCAATAGATGTCAATGCTGAAGTTGAACCAATACCCATGGATGAACCTAACAATGATCCATTTGGTAAGATCTGTAACATCCTTATATTTGTGTACATATTTGGGCTTCTCTGTATAGGGTTTAATATTCGCAGGGTTATTTTTTTGCATTGTATAATATTGCAACTGTTAAATAAAACTTGATGATTCAAAAGAGTGCTAGAATGTTCTTTTACAATTGTTCTTATGATTTTTTTTTGTTCTATGCTTCGAAATTGAGAAGTTTTAAATAACAGACCACATGACATGGGATCGTTATGTGTCCTGTAACCCAGAAACTTTTGCTTGATGCAATGAAAATTGAAACGTCGAAAGCATTAATATTTTTCTCTTGTTATTGCAAATTAATCTAAATAGATTTTCAATTTACATAAAAAATAAATTTAAATAAAACACTTTAACGGTTTAAAACGCGATATATTAGTTACACTTATTTGAAAATGATTTTTAACTTCGGCCCGACGTTTCGGATATATCTAATATATCGCGTTTTAAACCGTTAAAGTGTTTTATTTAAATGTGTACTACTCGCGTAAAATATAGACAGTATTTAATAAAAAATAAATGTTTAAAATTATAATACGCGATGACGGTTCGAGCAGATCAATCGATCGATCGGTTAGAGCAGAACGGAATGCCACGGACGTCAGTTCAAGTGCCGCCCATATCATAAATATATAATACATATGCAATGATGTACAAGCCTGACTGAGATTGGGAAAACTAGATAATATGAATTGAGATAATTTACATGATCACATTTTTTTACAGAAGACGAACCACTCGGTGGTTTAGAAAGCGACGAAGAGGCAGACATAGCAGTTGCAGCTTGCGTGGCCAAGTTACCACCGGCCCCGCTAGCGAGGCTCACAGACATGCGGCCAACGCTACCACAACACTCACGACTCGAATACTCCTATAACGCCATACTCACAGCCTGGGCTGGGCCCTCACATTGGCGGCTTAAGAATAACAGGGGTATGTAAAAAAGAAGTTTGCAAAACTTAATGCAACTATGTTTGGATTTTTTTTATTATAGGCATGTTGTTAAAGGAGGCCTATAAAACATCAGCTCCGAACAATACACTCTCAGTGCTCGAAACAGGGAGAGATGTGGAATAAACAAAGAAAAAATATTAACTTTTAAGTGTTTCCTTCGCGTGCGTTGCGAAAACGGTATAAGATACCCAAAAAAATATGTATAATAACGTTTTCTAAAAATGCCCACGGTAGTACATTATTTTAAAATGAACTTGCAAGAAGACAGGATGACGTCGATTCCCTAAAAGGACTTATTATTTTTTACTAGGGTCAAACGTTTATTAATTGTTACCAGTTCCATTAGATTTCTTGAGTGGTTTTTGGTGAGTGTTTGTTTCGAATATTTGAAGAAAAGGCGTATCTTGTTTAGATGCTTTACAAGGATATTTCGATTCCATTCGATCAAGCGAACCCCACGTTTGTCTGCCCTTCTCCTTTTTAAAAACTTATTATTACTTTATTTTCAGTGAGTTTAATTATAAATGTAAAGTACTTATAGGACAACAAAATTAATTTTCAGCCTCCAAACCCGATCGTACCCATTCAACCGCAGCTCGGCTGACGGTGGAGAACAAAAAAGCACCTCGAACAAAGCGAGTACTAGACTTTATGGGAGCGGGTCTAAGGTTTGATTATCGCGCGGAGCCCACGGGAGAGTTTGAACCTGCCCAGCCGGCCAAAATAGCAATTAGTAGAAAAACATTAGCAACGGGGCATACATGGAATGAAGCTAATTACAAAACACCGATTGACAGGTAATATCTAGGTAGATGGCAATTAAATACTGTCTATAGTTTACGCGAGTAGTACACATTTAAATAAAACACTCCAACGGTTTAAAACGCGATATATTAGTTAAACTTATTTGGAAATGATTTTTAACTTCGGCCCGACATTTCGGATGCTTTGCAGCAGCCGTGGTCACGGGGAGACTAAAGATGGCGGATGTCTCTGACGTCAAAGTAAAAAATTGCTACGCTAGCGCCATCTTTTCCGTCGAAGTTGGTATTTGGCGAAAAAGTTTAAAGTGTTTTATTTAAATAGATGGCAATTGTTTTGTAGCATAGAGGAAGGTATTTCTGTTCCAAAGGGCATGCTTATAAACATTCATGCAATATGTTAGGCGTCTCGTCGTTTTTGTTTATAGTTTGACCCGCTAGAGATATTCGCTGAAACAGATTATTTTGTTATGGGACAATTGCAAAGACTATCATTATTATGTTTACTTTGTTTCAAAAAAAAATCAGAAAAGTTTTCTGGAATTTATTCTATGAAAACGTCACTGATGACGTGGCTCTCATCGTCTGTTTTTGAGTTTCTCCATTGGGGGTTGCTGTGTGTACTGGGGTGGGTTTATACTAGTCATGAACATTAATCAATTAAAAGTATATATAGCACTAGCTGCTATGCTCGCGACTTTAGTTTATTTTGGGTATCAAATTTGTTTTTGCAAACCTCCACTTTATCTTTATAAATTTAGACTGTTACTCACGACGTCGGTCGCGTCCCCTCGTTCTAGCAAGTTAATAATAAAAGGTAGATATATATACTGTTACGGACATTAGTTTATATCGTTTATAGGGGAATATTTTTTGGGTATCTTGAACCGTTTTTGAGGCGTACACATCGGAGACCCACAAAGATGAATAGTTCCCCGTTTTTTTTCATATTTCTCGCTGTTTCTTCACTCCTTTTACACACAACGCAATATAGCCTCCCTCAAAAAATGCTCTAACCAATACAAAAAAGATTTTTTCAAATCTAACCAGTAGTTCCTAAGATTAGAGCGTTCAAACAAAAAAACTCTTCAGCTTTATATATTAAAAGTATATTTGGCATATATTTTTTTACCTGTTCAATATTTGTTTCTAGAGGCTTGGATGAGACACATTTCCTGAAGTTATTCTTGCGGAATAACGTTATGATGGTGCGCAAGCGTGACTTGGAACAAAGAAAGGCGGTGTCTGTGCCCGCGCCGGAACCTTTGACTGTGGACGAGCACAATGACTACGATTACAACAACGAAAATGATGCATCATATTGTCCCAATACTATGCCGGTATTTTTTTTTTATTTCTTTCAACGACGAAGTCTGAACTACTGTAACGATATTTATACAAGATAGTGTATTTTTCTAACTTGGCATTTTCAGTAAACAAACACACAATATACATAAAATTGAGATTTTCTCACGAGATTTGCATTAATGTACGCTGAAATTACTTTGAGATATTGGATTATATTTAAATAAAACACTTTAACGGTTTAAAACGCGATATATTAGTTAAACTTATTTGAAAATGATTTTTAACTTCGGCCCGACGTTTCGGATGCTTTGCAGCAGCCGTGGTCACGGGGAGACTAAGTTTAACTAATATATCGCGTTTTAAACCGTTAAAGTGTTTTATTTAAATGTGTACTACTCGCGTAAACTATAGACAGTATTTTATTGGATTATATATTAAACGAATTAACTACCTTAAATTCCCTTAAAAACAAAATCACAATTTCATGCTAATATTAATAAAAATCCATAAATGCACCGATTAAAATTACAATTACATAGAAAAATACACTATACATAAAATGAGGTAATAAATTTCACATTCTGTGCCAGTATCGGCCATTAAACCATAATATTTGAGTACGGTTTAAAAATTTTCATTTGGTTGTCAAGTCTAACTTCTTTCTTAAAGTTGTGATCGTTCATTTAATAAAGGAAGCCGACGAATGGGGCAACGAGGAAGGTGCGGCGGCTGGTCTGCATGGCCAGGTTAATGCTCAAACAGATGACAATGAAGATCTTGGAGAGTTGCTGGAACCACCAACTAAGGTAATGCATTTAATTATACTAGTATATTTCAGTTACTAGGCAAAGGAAGGATAATAATTTAAAATGGAAACTAAAAAATGTTTTTATGGTAATCATACCAGTGCTTTGAATCAAAAGAAAAGACTAAATGTAATGTTCAAAATTACAGATGTATGATTATGTATTTTATTCAAACAAAGAAAAGGTGTTTACATTGCGAGATTGCAGTTAATACATTGTCACAAAACAAAATTGAATAATTATTAATGAAATTTCTAATCCAGAACAATTGTATTTCAGATACCGAAAATATTTATACCCTACGCAATGAGAGCGAAGAAGGTCGATATGAAACAACTAAAGCATTGTACTTGGAAAATTCTCACTCGAGAATCTCCTCCCGGGGAAGAGGAACATGTGTCTGAAACGACATTCTTCAAGATCTATTCGAAACTACCCTCGAAGCTATCGGCAAATATGCGCGAATCGCTCAGTGTACCGTTAGCGTTATTATCAGTGCTGCATTTAGCAAATGAAAAAGGACTTGTTTTAGAAAAGAGAGACGATTTAAAAGATTTTAAAATTGTAGGCCTAGAAAATAAAACATAAACTGATTTTATGTAGAACGAAATTTTGTTGTAACGCAATTGTTTTGTCTTGGATTATTTACTTTTTTTAATGTGATTTTAGCCGCCTCAGTAAATACCATTTTTTTTGTTTCAACACCATGTGGGAAGAAGCCACTTTTGATAAATGTTTTTATTTTTTTGTTAAGTTAAATTTTTAACTATAAGAAAAATACTCAAAAGAGTCTTTACGAACTTAAAAAACTCGGCTCACACTTATGTATGATTTCTTTCAGAGTTTTTCAATTATCCATATAGTTTTGTCATTACTTACCATTGATATAATCAATTCGAAGATCTGCACTGTATTTATACAGTATTTAGTACGCAGATATTTATAGTGCTTATCTTTGTAAAATCTATACTTTTTTTTTATTTTAATTTACAGAAGTGCCAGTCAATGTGTCATTTTAAGTTTTAGTTTCAAACTTTATAGAACTTTAATAAATGTATTTACGTATTACAAAAGCCACTTAATATACCTGAAACCCTTTCAACTCTATTCTACTATAGATAAACAAAAACTCGGTACTTATTACATACTTTATTCAGTACAAAACAAATGGACGCATCTCACAAATATTATGTATTGTGTTACTTATTCTCTTTTAATGGAAATATAAAACAATTTTAAACATTTGAAAGGAAAAATGAATGAGTATTCGCATTATTAATGGATACTTACATAATATGATATTCGCTTTGTTACGAAATCTTAAACTAAAATAAAATTCTAAGTGCTTAAAAACAACAAAAACTTTTTTAACTTCCCCACTGGGCTTAACACACATATTTAGAAATTATAACAAAAAGGGTTAACAATATCATACTTATAATAGGTGTTTCAATAACTGTCATTAAACATCCATATTATCACAAGATACAGATATCAGTCAAGTATTGCAAAGGCAACAAATGTATAAGCTGTTACTTCTAAATACAATTACATAAATGCTTTGCATTTTAGTCTGTTGGTTTAGTATCATTATTTACACTTTCATTTTCGGTAATAGCACCTTCCGTTTGTGCCTGTTTAACAGGGGTTTCTCGAATTTTTTCTTCCTTTTCACACACTGTGCTTCCGATGGTCGTAATCGAAGTGTCTATTTTAATACTTTCAATAGATGAATCTGCTTCAATCGTGGTTTCAGTTGAAACGTCCTTCTCAATGTTGTCATTTGACTTAATTTCTTCAACCTTCTCTGTGCATTGATTATTGTCGTCCGTATTATGTGTTAGGTCATTCTCAATAACTGTCTTAGCGCTATCCATGCTTTCGTTCAAGTCCGGTTGTGATGAGTCAAAGTCATCCAAGTTGTTGATTGTTTCAGTTGTTGTAGTTTTTTCCGATTCCAAATTTGTTGCATCAGTATTGATAGACTCGGAAAATAGAAAAGATGTAACATCCTTACCATCCATTAGCAATTTAACTAAGTATGGTTCGGTTAAACTATCTAAATATTCTATTTGGAATGTAGTGAGCTCCGTGACTAAGTCTTCTAGTTTGCTTTTAGCTGCTTCATTTGCTGCACTTTTTTCAGTGAGTCCTGACAGTCTGCAACATTTTGCGAGAGGATCGATGTGTATTAAGTCATCTGGTAGTTGCCGAAACTCTTCGCATTTGGATTTATTGCCATAATCAAGAAACTGAACGTGGTAGCCCCTGTCGCAGAATTCCAACACTTTCGCTCGATACCACTGTTCGTCTTCGCTCCAAAATGCGGCACAAACTGAACCAACTTTTAACTCCGAAGAAGGTTCAAAATTTGCGGCGTCGCTTAGCATTTCTGTGACCTTATCTAGAGTATTTCCAGAATCATCTAACTGAATATAAAATTCATTCAAAGAGTTCACGAAGCAAACTTTCCCGCTACTGTGCAAATCTTGTCCAACCGGAGTAGGCCTTTCAGAAGGCGGGTGTTCTTCACAAAGGTCCACCAACTCTTCCGTGACAGAATTCCCTTCGTGATATAATTCTACAATAGAAATATCACCAGAAGCTATAAACTGTACGTTGAAAATAGTAGCACCTTCCGCAGCCAATTCGTTAAACTTAACTTCGGATCGCCTCGACCAAGATTTGATATCTCTGGGCTTTTGGAGAGCACATTTTCTAGAAAGTGCTGGTTTTGTTTTAAGATCATCAGGAAGACTGCGCAATTCATTTGCTATCGATGCGTTTCCATAGTCCATAAAGAGGACTTCGGTTCCTTCAGAGCCATCGATGATGACTTGAGCTCTATACCACGCTCCATCTTCAGGGTATTTGGCAGCGCACAGAATACCTTCTTCTTTCGTCTCCAATATGGGGAAATTTTCGGCGTCCACCATAGCGGCCTCCATGGCCTGTAATTCTGGCGCGGCTGTTTCCAACTGGATCCAGAACTCGGACGGAGAGTTAACGTGACTAGCGAAACAGGAGGCCAAATCGCCACAATCCGTTTCTTCAGACCGAGTCGCGTGTCCTTCAGAAACTAATTTATCCGTAATATTTTGTCCCTTAACGTAAATATCAACGTAGGTAGTGACATCTTTAAGGACTATTAGAGCATCTACCGGCAGTGAAAGGTCACCCACGAGTTGCGTGAAGTAGTCCGAAGACGGTTCCGACCATTGACCAGTGCCAGTTGGGACAGCATTGACACTAGATTTGATAGCAAAACGCTCCACCTCTTTAAACTTCTCCGGAATCGCCTTTAACAAACCGGGCTCATTGTCGAGTACATCCGTATTTCCATAGTCTATAAATCTTACGGTTGTTATATCTGAATCAGCATCGAGAATTTCAGCTCGATACCACTGGTCATCCGCGGAATATTTTGCAATACACAAAGTTCCCATTTCCCTACATTCAATATCAGGATAGCTCTCAAAATCAGCCTGGAGTTCAGCTTGAACTTCTTCAATTCTAGTCAATTTATCAGCCATTTGCAGCCAAAAATGTCCTGGACTATCAATATGGCTTATGTACACTTGGGTACACCCTTCCGGGAGGGAAATTGGTTCCACTGATAGTTCTTCCTTGATCTCACTCTCTTGTACAGGCTCGATAGCCTCCACCTTTGGTGTTGCTAGTTTTTCACTCACAAGTTTCAAAGAGAGGTCAACTCCATCAAGGTTAAGATTGGCAAGCCACCCATCGTCTCCAAATGCCAAAGTAACTTGAATTTCCTTTTCATTGGTCCATTCTTGTAATTTAGTTATCGCTTCATCGTTTAGTGCTACAAGACCTAGGCTCGCCACTAGAGCAAGATGACAAGGTTCATAGAAAGTGGGATCAAGTTTCTTTATTGATTCCTTTGGGATAATTTCAGAGTTACCATAATCCGAAAAATGGACTTTGACGTCCGTTTCGGTAGAACTGATTATGGAAGCGCGGTACCAATTACCATCTCCGGATTTTGCGACACATAGGGATTCAGCTTCAAACGTAAGAAGCTGTTCAGGTGTACCTGAAACAAGAAGCAGTTATAAAACAATCTGAATATATTATTTATTATATCATTATTATATCACATTTACCCCTGTTTCTTTACTCATATTGTTTTGTTGCAGTATTTTGCTTTATAATTAGTAACTATTGTAGGCCTAAAGCCTTCCTTATCTAAACAATACAAAAAATATTTTTTCAATTCGAACCAGTAGTTCCTGAGCTAGCTTAGCTTAAATTAGCGCAAACAAACTGTTCAGCTTTATAATATTAGTATAGATCTAATAATGCCGACTACATTTTGTTTATTACCTTCTTCATAAAACTTGTAAAGACTATCCAATAAGAGGGCTATCTTATCACCATCAGAAGACTTTTGTAGATAAAACTCGTTGAGATTCTCTAGATGAGATATATATGCCAGACCAAAGTTATAATTAAACACAGCACGAGAACATAACGGTGTTACTTCTTCATACGCTCCTTCGTCTGGTTCAAAAATTCGGACCTTCTGTCCTGTTTTTGCATCATATAATGTGGTTATTAACCTGTAATAAAAGTTATAAGGCAATTTAGAGAAAAATTCTATTGTATTCACGTATAGCTCAGTGATTCTTTATAGCTAGGGCTTAGATACAATTAGGGCAAGAATTATTGGCAATTACAGACAACCGTATACCGTAACCAAGTAATGTCCTCATCGTCGAATTTTTTCAACTTACTGATACATGTACCTCACGCGCAGTGTAATTTCAACCTTAACACTTGCATATTAAGGCTATTAACTTAACAAAAAAGTATTATTTTCTTAGTGCCTTAGAAGCAATACATACCGAATACCATCAACATCATTAATGTAAGCGATAAGGTTTTTTCCAGTTATCTTTTCCTTTAGATCTTCGAGAGGGATGAGAGTGGCTGATTCTGGTGTATAGTTATTGAGGGCGCATTCCAAAGATTGATAGTAGTACACCGTGAGATCCGTTGGAAGAATCATTATCTGTAATTTGTACAATGTTAATGGACTTCGTCGATCCGGATTACGACCCACTGTCTCCAGATGAAACCAGTGAAGTTTAACCAAACTCGGTTAAACTTCACGGTTTCAGTCTGTGAATTTCCGAATATCTAAAGCCAAAATAGGTCGATAGCCCATCTTGTTTGATGATATATGACTGGTGTATTTCACCTCCATCAAGTGAAGTTTGTCTCTGCCTTGTGGCAAAAATATATTTTGTCTATAACTTTTAATACATGGACTATACTTTTAACACATTTATATAACTTTCAAATTGTACAATAGCTCGAGCGCCGTAATTGAGAAGTCGTTGAACATTTAGCTCGACCAACTTGTCAAGTTCGCTTTGTCGTGTATATATTTATAAAATTCATCGGCCAAAAAAGTCGAAAAACACTTAAAAAATATCTAATATTGAAGAGGCTAACATACATTTTCTGCTGAAGTCTTGATTGTGTTGCCATAGTCTGGCAATAGGCATTCTACAGCTGCCGTATTTGACACGTCGCCGAGTATCGCTCTATAGATTTTGCCCCCGTCACGTACTGTACAGTGTATTCCTTCCATTAAACTCTCGGCTGCTATAGGAGTTAACTAAAAATATAACAATGTTGTTAGAAACAATATGTAACAAAATAATCACTAAAAATGAAAACACAACCGCCTCGCCTTCTCTTTCTTCTTCTTCAACAATTCAGAGCTATCATCAAACAGCCTAATAGTAAAGAGAAGCAATATTTAATTTATACTTTGTCTAATTTTAAGTTCATTAAGTCGCTTTCGAGTGTGAAATATGTTTACTATATTTATATTAAATAAACAAGATAAAGGGACAACTGTTGTGTACATTAATGTCTATATGTACTGTACAATAAGTTAATAATATCAACACATTTTAATAAAACACTAACTGTTTAAAACGCAATATATATTAGTAAAACTTATTTTATTTAAACCGTTAAAGTATTAAATTTAAAGTTTAATACCCTAACAATTTTCTTGAAAGTCAAGGTTATTAGGTCGTTTAGGCGTCAACCAAAATTCGACCTTGGGTTGTGATATATTTAATGATAAATTTACCTTGCTGATATCAAAGTTGGCTATGGCACTCTCCACCAATTCGGCCTTATCCAAATCTAGTTGCACGTAAAATTTTTCGTACGACTCCACGTGGGTCACACGGCACAATATTTGCTGTCCCACAATTATCGTGAGATCGATGGCTTCGTCTGAAAAGATTACGTCCGTTACTGTTACTTAAAGGTATTTGTAACCTACCCAACATTGAATTTATGTTAGCTCAGTTTCTATCTATTTTTAAATTAAATTTCATAACATAGGCCGTCCAAAATGTATGTTAAGATTCTAGAAACAGATTAGTCGTTCCTAATTGGCTCTCAGATTACGAAGACTTAAGAATAGCCGGCTTATATTTAATCTAAAATAAGTACGTAGAGGCCAGGGTGGTGATGTCACATATGTATGATTATGAACATTTACCAGTAAGATAAAATAGATAACCTAAGTTACCTAATACCATTAGTCTTTAAACAGCTTACCTTTTAATGTTACAGACGACTGGTGCTCCAAAGGCGCCGCTAGACCCTTCTCTACCAACAAATCAGCAACGCTCACACCGTTATTCCACAATGACACGTTGTACTGCTCCTCTCCACATTCCTGGAAGATGCACTGGTATCTCGGCGCGTTAAAGCACAAATCGATATCGGGATTGGCTTTCCATTCTCCATCTTTAGCCATCACCCCAACCAGCGAACAGTGTACCGCCATCTTGGGCAAATCCATCAGTTCTCTATCCAGCTGCCAAATGTCCTTGGCATCAACGAGTTGCTTATTGCCAAAATCGATATAGCGGACGATAAATTTTGAAAACGGTTGCACCGCAACTACTGTTGCCCTGTAGAGCACGCCGTCTGCCGGATACCTTGCTAAAACTGAGGCTCCGACGGGTACATTGCCAGTGTATGACTTCACGCCCTTGTATAGCTCTGGTATTTTGTGCATCATATCTAAGAATTTCGGTTGGAACGATAGTATCTGTGTGTAAAAGTTCTCTGGAGATATGATCCACGTGACGGATACCTCGTGCTGCGAACCAATTTCCACGGTTGGGTCTGTGAACGGGGTGTCCAAGGAAACTGGGTCGGTTAGCTCCTTGTACTGGACTTGTGTGAATTTGTTGCGGCTCTTGTAGGGCGGGGCGCGACCTGCGCGATCCTCACCGTAAGAACGGTTACTCTTATCAGAGCGTTTATCGCCATCAGAACCAAATGATCGATCAGATTTTTCAGCGCGATCTCGGGGAGTGAAATTACTTCTACCCCCGAACCTCTCTCCCCGGTTGTCTCTTTCCCCCCTTTCTCTATTATCTCTTTCCCCCCTTTCTCTGTTATCTCTCTCTCCTCTCTCTCTGTTATCTCGGAATTCTCTCTTTTGATTCCAGTTCTCCTTTTTATCCCCCCAATTGTCACGTCGCTCGCCACGGTTGTCCCTCCTGTCTGGTTTGTTAAATCTGTTGTTGCGATCTTCAAACTTCTTTTCGCCATCGTGCTGGTTGAATCTATCGCTGTAACACAGTGTTAGTAAAGTTAGAGATTTCAACGATCAATATAAGAAGGTTGTTTTTATGTTTTTTAGTACGCGTAAATTTAAAATCTTAGTTATTATCATCATTCAAATAGAATATTAATTATTAATTCATGTTAATATCAGTGAAATAGTGTAACAAACAAATATTAAGAAAAGTAGAATTAATACGATGAAACAGTGGTTATGTGAATCTAAAAACTATTGCTAGCAACAAAAATATTACATCTAACCAGGTATATAAAACAGAAGTGAAAACAGATGTCTGCGAAACATTCGCTTAAAGGAATAAATGAAAACGTAGCGTAATAGGATAATTATACAAAAATGTTGCGTTCAATACTCGGCCAAGCGAATCGGCAAACAAATGGAGCGAGGTGATTCGTCCAACAATAACATATTCAAGATTATTGTTAACTGATAGACTGTAATAAGTCGTCAATATTATACGATAATAATACACAATAAAGCTTATTATAATAAGATTGACAATAACTGGTTACTTGTTTATTTAAATAGATTCTATCGAAATTGCGTCGGAGTCACGGACCACCACAGATGAAGTTTAATCACGTTTCAGTGTCAGTCTGTGGATTTCCGAATATCCAAAGCCAAAATAGTCGACAGCTCTTCTTGCTTAGATGCTATAGACTAGGGTATATTACCTATCATTAAAAAAAATGCAAATTCGACAAGTGACACTGTCAAATTAAGTAAAATTACAAAATTGTTGATCATTCACAGTCAAATCTGAATCTGCATTTAAACATTTCATTGTTATATTGATACCACCTCAAGCGTAACAGCACACATCATTAAACTTAAGTGTGCCAATATACCGTTTCATTGACCTCCAATATGATTGATTTTGCAACACAATTAATTTCATTGTTTTTTACCTATTATTAATGACTAAATGTGACTTATGAAAAATATAGACAAACAACACAACAATTGCAAGCGTTGTAAAATATAGGAACTATTTAAATAAAACACTTTAGAGGTTTAAAACGCGATATATTAGTTAAACTTATTTGAAAATGATTTTTACCTTCGGCCCGACGTTTCGGATGCTTTGCAGCAACCGTGGTCACGGGGAGACTGAAGAAACGTCGGGCCGTAGTTAAAAATCATTTTCAAATAAGTTAAACTAATATATCGCGTTTTAAACCCCTAAAGTGTTTTATTTATATGTGTACCACTCGCGTAAACTAGAGACAGGTATTACAGGAATTATATTAGTTGGGTATTATATAAACAATATCTTTCTTTAACGGCATTAATAACAGTTAACACTCGAGCATTGCCGATGATTTCATCCCTGGATTATTATCTCCCAATAATAATCCGGGATGGTATAATTAAAGAATAAAAATACCACAGATTGTATGGCAAGCAAAGTAGGTTTTTTGATAGCAAAATGTCCGACATACCAGAAACATTACAAGAGACAACTCTTTTCTTCGTGAAAATGTGCAATGTGCCGTTTCTCCGGTGAATTCAAACACGTGACGCGTGAAGTATCCGAATGGAACGAGATACAAAATGTGGGGAAATGCCAGTGCACCGACAAGGGGTTATAATGGAAACAAACACTGTGTGTAAGTGGGCAAGCGAAGCGGTATAGCGGGTACCGTTTGAGTCTCTCCTGCACACTACTTTTTGTATGCGCTTGAGCAGCCTCGGTCGCTTGCCTTAGCCTCCGACCGACGCTAGACTCCTTTTTGTAGCCCTTTTGTTTCTCGTCTGGGCGAGACTTTCTTCTGCTAATACGAATCGATTGATAAAGATTTCACGACATCACATGACTGGCTTCTAGTTTATCTATAGTAATTTTAGTAACTTCTTTAAAGAATTACTAACCATGGACCTAATATTTAATCATAATATAAATAGGAAACATATATAAACTTAAATAATTTTATATATTATAAAAAAAATATATCAAATATATATCTCTTTCTGATTTAACTATCTGTTTAAGTTTAAATAGAATATTTCACATACTTGTCTCTGTTTTGCCTTAGCGGAGGTGATTGCACTGGTTGTGGTGGAGAAGTCTCCTCCCAAGACTCTCCACTTGCAGCGGGTGGAGAAAAGTGGTTGTCTCGGGGCCTGCCACCCACACGTCTGTGGTAAGAAGTGAAAAGTTACCAAGGAATTAACGTCAGTGTTGTTTTAGATATCACTTAGAAATAAATACTGTTATTAAGATTTATTTTGTAAATCTAATTACTAATTCTCGTGAATACAAGCTTACCTGTCCCCTCTGTCTGGCTTCGCGAACTTGCCACTGTACCGTCCGGGCCCCGAGCGGTCAAAGCCATCGTTTTGGTCTCTGTTTAAACAAACAAACAAAAATTGCAAATAAATTTGTACTCAAGAATGACAAAACGCAATTTATTTACCTATATCTATTCTTGGACATGTTATGGGTTTCAAATCTCTTTTAGACTGATTTTTATGAAGAAATAAGTTCGATGACCTTTGGATATGACTCAATACAAATTTTTTGCTGAACATCGAGTGGAAATAGTTTAACGGAACGCAACAATTGACGCTCGTGAAACGTACAAATTCAAAATAAATTATTACATTTTTCGTGTTGTATGTTGCGCTTTCTAGTTCAATTCGCGAATAATTAATGTTAATTAAAAGCTTTAGAACACATTTTACGATCATTAATTAGGTAAAATTACAATTAGTTAAATTTTAAAAGCGAACCAGTATATCTGCACTCGAGCGTACATCACAAGGTACCAGGTTCGAATCTAGAGTTGAGCAAAATGTTGCCCTCTGGTATTTGGATTTTTAAAGAAATTTCTAGTACCGGTCTTGCTAGGCCGAAACTTGTACCAAAATTTAAAACTGCCAGTGTGTATTAATCATATTATAGATACTTTAACTAAAAAATTAAAAACATCTCACCTCCCTCTAAAGCTGCCACCTCGCTGACCAAACTCTTCGCGATCCCCATCGCGAGATCTTCTCTCATCTTTAAAACTCTTCTCTCTACGAAAACTCTTCTTGCGACTATCGTCTGGTACGCTGCCTTCTGGTGAACTGAACTGTTCGGGGGCGTCTTTACGGGCGGGAGTTATTACTTTCTGTGGTACAAAAAATTTAAAATATGTACTACTTTTCTTGACATTATTGTAATTAATACATTATGGCTGTATTTGCCTAGAACTTGTCTGCCTGGGCCTTTTAGCATCAGGGCCTAAGGCTTGCTACTAGATAAAAAGCAGTAAAGTTTAATTAAGGTTCGGTTAGAGTCTGTGGATTCATCCAAAGCCAAAATAAGTCCATTAATTCACTTAATCCCCAATCTTGTATTTCCTTCATAAAAAAAATATATAACTACATTCCTTACCTCAATATTACCCGTGCTTCGCGGTTGGGATAATTGGTTCATTCTCCTAGCAATATCAAGAGGCGGTGTTACTGTGTCGTCCACCAACGTCACTAACATGGTATCATGTGAATACATGCCAACCACATGGGCCATTAAGGTTTTCTCTAACGCTAGCATTTCTAGTTGGTTTGATGTTTTGCTCTCTACTGGTTTATCTTCATAACCCTGTTTGTAAAGCAGTACATTTAAAATGAAACTTACGCTCACTGATGCAAAATTGTGTGTGAAATCCACGACGTGGGGCATTTCTGTGTCAGTTTACTGATCCGTTCTTTAACAGGCAAGTAGTTGATCAGATTTCTGTGCCCAGCCTGGCTGAAACAATTTTTTGTTTCCCTGGGATTCGAACCCAGGGCCTCTCGCGCTTAACACAATGCTAGGCAATACGTTTAACCATTTGGCTACAGAGTAGAAGTAAAATTGGGTAACAATATATTTAGATGTTCTGCCTTCAGAACGGATCAGTGAAAGTTTGGTATAATGTATAGACATTACTACTGTTTAAAAATAGTAAGATTTAAAAAAATCTGGTAACAGGAGCTCTTGAACCTACAACCTTATTATTCTAGGCTCATAATACCTAATACAGTTGTAGATTTTTCATTAATATAAATCTATCCTGTTGAAAAACGAAATGAATACTAGCTCTTTTACAAAGCATCCGAAACATCGGGCCGTAGTTAAAATTTTTTCAAATAAGTTAGTCTTTTATTTTAATTAATACTCACTTTTAAGGCACACTTCATAGCTTGAGCTGGTAATTTTATGAGGTCTGGAGTAATTGTCCTGATGTCAGTCTCAGCCACTTCTTGTTCGTTTCCATAATCTACATAGGCTACAATTATTTTGTTACCAGTTATGTCTCTGACTATTGCTCTATACCAATTACCATCTTCGGGAAATCTAGCACAACAAACTGCACCAATTGGCAGTGGTCCTGGAGACGATGTACTCTCGCAATGCCTTTTCACTGCTTCCATAACTGCATTTAGTTCATCTATGTAATCCGACAACTGAACATAGAACTTAATACAGCTGTCTACATATGATACCAAAATTGAATGTTTGCTTTTCTGGGGCAGTGTATTTAGCCACTTAAACTGCAACTTATCCTTCATGTTAGCTAACAACAAATCCAGCACATTTTTACTATCCAAAAACAGTTCTGCATACTGAATCAGAGGTGGGCCTTCTGCTGGCACAACTTTTAATGTCAACACAGATCTATTCACAAGCTGTTTGAAGGCTTCAGTAACATGTGGCCCCTTCTCCAATTTCTTTACCCCTGATAAGCAAAACCGCATTGCAAAGACATGGGGTTTCACAAACTCTTCTGGTATATCAAATATGTCATAATAGGAAACCATTTCTGTATCACCAAAATCAACAAAGAATAGTTTACACTGTGATCCTGAAAGATTCATGACCACAGCTCTGCATAGTACTTTGTCTCCTGGCATTCTGCCTAAACACACTGTACCAATCATCGGTGGCTCTGTCAGACTGCGGTGTGGTCTTATATTGATGTCAGCCAACATTTCTTGAATTTTGTTTGTATCAGTTGCTAGTTGTACAGCAAACAATTCAGGTCCTTCCTCAGCATATGAGACAAAAACTCTGTGTGTGGAGTTAACTTCTAAAAGCCTACTTTTGTAAGTGCTACATTTTTTAGGAGACTGTGGCCCCTTCTGCTGCAGTAATAGAGGGTCATCTGTAAGTGGCCCTGATGGCATATTGGAATTGGCAGCATGTCGAGGTTGACGACTTAATGCTCTAAGATTTGCAATGTTCCTAGAGGCTTTGTTTATTGATCTTTGAGTTATTAAGGATGGCGGTGGAGCACCATTAAATGGTATTGTAACATTTTGCCTCATAGCTGAAGCAGGATTTGGAAAATTTTGGTTTATTAGAAAAGGTACATGTTCTGTAAATGGTGGTGGTTCACTCATTAACGGACTTGACCAGTTGTTAATTGGTTCATTTTTGGACATATGCAAAAGAATTAGTTCTTGCTTATTCACAGGTAAAATCATACCAAATTTGTTTGCAGCAAGATGACTTGATAGGTCATTTCCTTTAAACTGGATTGAAATTATTGTAAAGGGTGAAGTATGGGCATCAATAGTGGCTTGGTATTCGTTATAGCAAAGTAAGCTTTGTAATCTTAACAACATAGTTTCATCCCAACCACCAGCCGAGTGCATCAGACGGGACAAGTAATACTCAGACGCCTGTCCCGGTAGTTTTAAAAACATTGGATCGTACTGATCCAATACACGTATAGTACTTAACGAAATAATATCTTTGTTGCCATAATCAATGAAGTGAACACCTACAAATCCGTTCGCGAGATTCGCAGTATTCACAATCTTGGCCCGATAATAGTTCCCATCTTTATATTTCGCGGCACATATGATACCTTCGTGAATAGCAGCCTGCGGTACAGATCCAACTCCTTTTTCAAGATTCTCACTAGCTGTTTTGAATAAACTTTCAATCATACACGATGCCTGGTGATCTAGCTGCCCACATATCTTTAGAAAAGAATAATCTCCGTCTACATGAGTTACGAACAGACTAAACGCCCGCGGATTGTCTGCAGGTAAAGCCATTTCTTGTTCTCTTTTAATAAAGAAGTAAAAGTAATCACATTACGCTGTTAGAAAGCTTTAAGATATTTTACGGTTGAGTGCAAAACAGTTTTAATGATAATGAAACAATTAAGATTAATAATCACTTTCTTCACCGCTTACTGAACTTCAGTCTTCACTTTTCAATTTTCAGAACATGAACAGCACTTCACATTGCACAGACATAAACATGGCAGCGCGTCAGTTATGGTCTTTTAACAAAAGTACACTCTGTAGTTGCTAATATCAATTTCTTTGAAAAGTTACAGGCTATATATTGAGAGTAAGAGAATTTTTTGTCGACTGGCCAAAATGGTAAGTAAATATGTTGTGAAGTTAATTAAGATAGACGTTTATGTTAAAACAATTGCTTTATTCAATGTGCTTTTGCTATTCTTATAAATCAGAGATTACGTGATTGGATTTGGACTTATCAATAAAAATACATTGAACACGTAACAATGAAAAAACACGGAAACAAAATCTATACGAGAACGCGAACTACGAGAACGAATTAATCATTCAACTAGTATATAATTTATTTTTAAGACTAGTACGAGATTAGTAGGACGGTTATTTTCACTGGGCAAGTATATAAAAATAAATATGAAGTTGTTAAGCGACAAATAAAACCTACTTGCTCAGAGAAAATAATTTATTTAATCAAGAAAGAATAGTCTTAGAAATCTGATAAGAAAATACACCTTTGTGATTTGTCTATTAATGCGAAGCATTTCTGTTTATAGCTAGACTGTGGATTCGTGTTGAATCACTAATGTCAAATTTGACACGAAAATATATTATGAAATGATTAATTTTATTTGTTCACAGCAATTTGACACTATAAATATAGGTTTATAGTGATAATAATTTTGTTAATATTTTTATATAAAAAAGATGATTGAAACGTGTTCAAAAAGATGTATGTTATTTGGTACTGTTTCACTGGGAATGTGAGTAAATATGTTATAACTATTGAGATATGACATCAAACCTCGTTAATATCAAGATTTTAATAGGATCTATACAGTATATTACTCATCATCTGACAAATCTTTTCTGTTACAGCTTAACAATTGTTGTTCTCATACTAGAATCACATCTTGCTGATACGTTGTCTGGGAGTCAGCGGAGGAACAAAACATTCCCTACTGAAAACAATTCTACTTGTTGGCTTACACAACCATTTACTGTTATAAGCGAATGCCACCCCTGTTCTGGTAAACACAAATACAAAAACTATTCTAGAATGTTAGTTTAAAATATGTTTTGTTATTCTACATTTACAATGCCCCCAGAGCAGAATCATTTTTATTATTTATTTATGCATACATTGAAGGTGTTAGGTCAGTTGGGACCATGTGATGGCCACAATCAGCAACAACCCCATTCCCTGTATATGTTTGTTGGGAGCTATCTTTATCTATATAACAATTATATTATCCTGCTATTTTTAGATTTTGAAATACGTAGCAAGAGCATAGGTGTCTGTATACACACAAGCTTCAAAGAAATATTGAGATGTGAAAATGGTGAAACAGTCACTAAAAGGTACATTAATTAATTCTCCTCACTAATAGAGCTTTTCATATAATATTTATTATTCATTAAAACTTAGTGAATTATTGTCATTTTAGTTGTGATCGAGTTGCATATTTGGAGGAGAGAAAGTTCTGGAAGTTTACAATCTGGTCATTCTTTATGGGCTCAGTGTCATCTGTAGCTGTGATGTTAAGAATGCGAGTTTTAAATCATAGAGCTAAAAGAAGAGCAAGACAAGTACTTGCCAATGGAACAATTTGAGCAGTATTAAATTATTAATATGATATTAATGCTAGCAGTAATATAAGGCTGCTAAAGGCAGAGTAGCCTAACTGCTGTTTTTATGGCTAGTTATTATTTTTTATAGCCTAAAAATGTTAATCCATCAGACCCAAATTGTCAACATAATTGTTACACTTTTGTTTTCCTCCTTATGTTTTTTGTTGTTAGGCCACTCTGTCTCTAGCAACCTCATATATACTTGAAAGTTGTGATAAGTAGTAAAAATGATTGTAATTTATTTTGAAAACAAAATTTTTAATAATTCACCTATGACTCTAACATTCACACTGTTCCCTAATAATCTGTAACACTGTTTTACGGTAATGCTATTTGGAAAAGAATATTCCTTAGGAAACATCATAAGAGCAGAGACTTCCTTTGGGGTGAAGTACCTCAATTTCAGCTCTTGTAGCTTGTGGATGTACTCTTTACTACCTAGTTCAAACAAATTAGCTTCAGAATAACAGCTTTTGACTTCATCTTGACTTTTTTCAGTAAAAACTGATCCTGTTCCATCAACATAATGAGTGTATGCTTTTGTGAAGCAACATGACCTTCTTGAATCTTTATAGCATATATCTAGAACCTTGCCCCATTTCAAAACTTTGTCATTTAAATAAAATGTGTCATCTATATCTTCCACAATAATATCTTGCAGTGGAAAAGGTTCCAATTTTGGACATAAAGGAAGTGCCGACATCTGAAATAAAAAATACTTCTGAATAAAATATAAATATTATACATCTATATTGAAATGAGGTAAACACAAACTTACCAATTCATTGTCACACTTAAAACTCCATGGCGATGGTGTTTTTCTAGCTATACAGTAGTATCTTAATCTAGAATTTGGTACTCCAAATTTACTAGGGCATAAAAGAAATTCTTGATAGTGAAATTTGCACTCTTTAAGTTTATTAATAAACAAATTTCTGACTGTTGAACATTCAAACCCTTTTACATTCTCCATCAAAATATATTCAATATTTTCTAATTCTTCTAAAATGTTAATGATGTAAAGAAAGGAATTGGTTCTTGGATCACTATCGTCAAGGAATTTACCATTTCTTGTAAAAGGTTGACAGGGTGGTGACATTAAAATTGTATCAACAGCAAGTTTTTTTATTTCAGGGACTGTTAATGATTGAATATTTTTACATATTAGAACGGTGTCTGAAAAATTTATTCGATAGACTTTATTTGCAACTGTGTTTATGTCTATTGCGGCTACTATTTTACCATCCAGCCCAGAATCTAAAAATGATATTAGTTATATTAATGATACTGAGATTCAAAATTTTAATACTCAATTAAATAGCGAAATATTGCGTTTAACATTTAGTATTTACCGTTCCAAGCACAGTGCATGCCTCCAATACCACTGTAGAGTTCTAAGATTCTATGACCCATATTGGCGTATCAGCACTGAATTTCCTAATTTAAATAATTCATTACATAATTTTTAAAACAATAATAACTTATGCAATTGAGGTATTGACCATACCGATTATAATTTAATACAATTGAATATCATTAGACTAGACCTTTTCTGATAAAATCGTCATAGTTATGTCAAACTGTCAATTCAGTGCATACACGCGTATTGGTCTAAGGATCAACTGTCTAAAATTAACGGTCATAGAGTATATCAACTGTTATCTGCAGTGGTGCTACTGTATGTAAGGCCAACTGTGTATATCGGATTTTATATTTCATCAAAATTAGTGAAACATGAAATCGGAGGACAAAATGTTGCTTAATTTTAATATATTCTATTACAGGTCTATATAATTTCCAATCAATTTATTTATGCCTAGTTTTTAGACCACAGAAGATACCAGCTGCATATTTGACATTTCTATAACAATATAATATTTGACATTGACAGTATATTTTAATAACATCAAATAACGAAGCAATAAACATTATGATCAATCAGTTATGGCGGATTCAAAGTCGGGGATAGATGTGTTGCATGCCATGGGAGAAGAAAAAGCCGACGTAAAGGAGCAAGTGCACCTAGAAGAAACGTTTTATATTTTATCTAAGAAGAAGTCTGTATTCCGCGTACGCCTAACATCAAAGGGCTTGTCTTTAATAAAGGAAACGGATGATACTTCGAAAGAACAAATAATTTTATTACGCGACATCATCGGCAGTAAATGTATGCGAAGTAAAAGACGTCGAGTCGGTGGAGGATCTTGTGTGTGCACATCTCTTGTTGGTAACCAACAGCTCAAAGTAGTGGATGAAAACAGTGGGGACCTCGACGAAAACGATATCAGCGCCTATCTTTATATTTACGCATATGTGTTAAAGCAAAATCGACGTTCTTTGAAGCGAGAGCGTACGACAATAACATTGCGATTCCGATCGTTTGACAAGTACGAAGATAATAATAAAGAGGCACAAAAATGGAGAAACACTATCAAATGTCTTTTAGCTAACGAACCTATATCGAGTGTGCCGACTTATAACGAAAAGAAATTATTAGTCCTTTTAAATCCTAAGTCTGGCCCTGGCAAAGCGAGGGAACTGTTTCAGGAAAAAGTGGCTCCAATTCTGCTGGAGGCCGAGGTTCCATATGATCTCTATGTTACGAAGTATGCCAATTATGCTAGGGAGTTTGTTAGAACACGAAATGTTTATAATTGGAGGGGTATTGTGGCTGTAGGGGGCGATGGGGTCTTATTTGAAATTCTCAATGGAATGTTTGAGCGTTTGGATTGGCAGCAGGCGTTTGCTGAAGTTCCTCTAGCTGTATTACCATGTGGTTCTGGCAATGGTCTAGCTAGAACTATTTGTCACCATTTTGAGTGAGTATAAAAATATTCTTATATAAAATTCTAATTTGAAATTTGCAGATTGTTCTACTTATAAAAGATAGTAAAAAGGGACACTTGCCTAAAATGATAGATCTTATTGCAATATAATACAAGCTCTTCTTAAAAGTGAAACTAGTATGTATTAACAACCGTAGGTGTTTTTCTGGGCAAGGTCTTGACTTAAATAGGTATGTAATATTGTTGCAGTTCTTGACACCAAAAGCAGATAGGTACCTAATATACATAAATATTAGTTGTATGTATTAAAATTAGAATTATTACATTTTCCATCACCTCAACTTCTAACTACTTCATTCACATTTCTCATACTATTTAGAAGAAATAAGATTATATCTTCTATTACCTATATCTGTTAGAAAAAGTCTGGTTGTAATTTCTTGTATAATGATTTTTATTAAATCTACCTACACGTTCCTTCACGATGTATACTAAAAAGTTGTATCCATAGTTTACTTGAGTGGTACACACTATACAAACCCTTTTTTTTCGATTTAAAATGCGAATAATATTCGTTAATTAATGATCCGTTCGCCGAATGGACGTCGCAGTGTTTTTCGGCGTTACCATGTTATTATACCTAGTGCGCATAAAAACATACAGGTCCAGTCATATTTTTCAGATATGTAAAAATTGAATAACGTTAATAACGTCAGCTATACTTGTCGTTTGTTAGTACTTTTATACGTAAGTATTAAATTGTGTCTGCGACTTGGTCCACATAGAATAAATGTTTTGGACATCCAAATGTATGCCGTCGTTTTCAGATTTAAAGAGAAATCATTCTTACATACATATTTTTTGGGTGTCTCGAGCCGTTTTCGCAGCATACGCATCTGAAACCCTAAGATATGAAAAATCTCCCTCGTTTTGTATACACTTCCCGCTGTATCTTGGCTTCTATTAGTCAGAACGCGATGAAAAATATTTGTTTCAATTCGAACAAGTAGTTCCTGAGATTAGAGCGTTCAAATTAACAACTCTTCAGCTTTATAATATTAGTATAGGTACTTAAGCCATATAATTTCGATACCTTAATCTCAATTCATTTTGGTTGAAATTCATAATTAAGAGGAAGACAACCGATTGCTAATTTTCGAACAAATAGACCGGGCGCTGATGTTATCGAAATACCCACAAACCTAATAATGATTGTATGAGACTATAGGATACTAAATGATATAACTAAACAAAGAAAAAGGATATACTGTGCTAATCTGACCTTTGCATTTTACGTCATTTTACGATTTTACGTCATTTTACGGTGGTTGCACACCTAAATAATAGTTATTAACGCGGTATTGGCGAGAATACGACTTTAGTTTTGCATAATAACTTTTAATTTTGTATTTATTTCGTGCAAAAATTCAGTATATAAGGTTATTATGTGATAAAGATAATTACTCGAATCCAACTTTTCAAAATGCTGCAGATAACAAAACTCAAAGGCGAAGAGAGGGTTTATTAAATTTTTTCTCGCAGGGCAGAAACATTCCAGTGTCTGCTTCACTGATCGATTACATTAGTACTAAGTGGGTTCAGTACGTTGTCCGAACGAAAGTATTCTTTTCCGGGACTCGAACCGTATTGACTCACACAGGCAGTAAATAGTTACAATAAGAAAATCTCTTTATCCAGTCTCCATTTAAATACTATCTTTACGCGAGTATTACGCATTTAGTTAATCAACTTTTAACGGTTTAAAACGCGAGAAGAATTACTTAAACTTATTTACAAATTATTCCCCCGTGACCACGACTGCTGCAAAGCATCCGAAACACTTTTCCTTTATTAAGAAAATATCAATGTGTTTAACCAATACATTTCGCGTTTTAAGCTGTTAAAAGAGTTTTATTTAAACGAGTCACCATTTAATAACAATACAATGATGTCCAGACGCCTTGCACAATAGGCGATTAAACGTGTTGTTTAATCAGGATTAACAGCTGTTATGAAATTTTCAACGATAAAAATAATTATTGTGTACAAGTACGTACGTATTTACTATCTACTCAATTGGATATATTGGTCGAGACTAAGATAATGTTAAACTAAACTGAAACTACATTAAACGGTTTTAAAATTCCAGATTGCTATTGTTTTTAACGATATTTCGTATTGAAATGTTGCAAACCCACTCGTATTAATCTGCATCGCTTACGCAATGGTCCATAATGACCTTACAAACTTTCTCTTTGTTATCCAGTCTTCAGCTGTTACTTTAGAATGTTTGAAAATACAAATATTTACGTTAACGTTTAAGGGAAACAGATCCATAATGGTAATAGAATGTGCTTTTAAATAAAACATTTTAACGGTTTAAAACGCGATATATTAGTTATTTGAAAATGATTTTTAATTTCGGCCCGACGACGATATATCGCGTTTTAAACCGTTAAAGTGTTTTATTTAAATGTGTACTACTCGCGTAAACTATAGACAGAATGTGCTTTGATAAGTTTCTAAATTGGAAAATTGTTTTTTGCATAATATGAGAAGCTTTATTACAATTAGTTTATCGGCAAAATTAATCTAATGATTCTGGTAGTATCCTGTTTTATATATGAAATACATCAAGTCAATGTACTGTCCGTTTGTGGCCTGACATAAAATGTGCCTTCGTTGAAAAGAACCTCAACTTATAGTTACAATTCAAATGTAGGTTAATTAGTACACTCATATTTTTCTCAGTTCTGATGGCCAAGGTCATTAATTTACACTTATTACAAATCTTTACAATACCTACATTCTCACAATTAAGACGTTCATTTGTTAAATATGCACAGACCAAGTTTTTATGTAACAATGATATACGATCTCTTTTAACGTGGTGATTATATGAAAATGTATATAATTCGACGGGTATTTTTGCAAAAATAAATTCAACTGTGAAACTTGATAGAGACTTTAGTTTTTGAAATATAACTTACTTAAATATGTATCTATATAATAATATCTCAAACCTGGAATGTAATATCTATCTACCCACAATAAAAAAACGACTTCAAGTGTTGTATGTGTTTTACCCGAATAGTTCACATTAAAATAAAACATTTTTAACGGTTCTAAATCAGTGGCGTAGCTAAATGGGCAAGGCCCGGCGCATAGAGAAATAATCAGGACCTCACCCCCTCTTTCTTCTAGCTTCAAGAGCTGGAGAGTTGGCTGACTCCCTTTTTTTAAAGCTTAGGTTAAAGGGCAAAGGGCCCCTCGAGGTTCTGGGCCCTGGTGCACTACACCACCGGGCCCTACGATAGCTACGCCACTGTTCAAAATGTATCTTGAAACGTTAATACGTTTTAACCCTTTTAAGGAAAACTGTTTATATAAATACATATTTAATTTTGATTTTTAAGTGTTAATGACTACCCAAATCTTACACATTTGTTTTGTATATCTCAAATCCACGTCTATCTTATATTACAAATAATAGAAAAGCAATATTAAAAGCATCAATATACTTATACGCGTTGTTTACGATTATAGTAATTGTATTATAATCGTTAACAACGCATATGTCATTAGGCCTAAAAACGGACAGATATCATTTATTCGAATAAAGAATTCTATATGATTATCAAAATACTACGTCATATTAGGTATAGTATGTGCGATACGACATAATTATTAATTAATGATAACAATTATGTTTTTTCCAGCGAACCGTTCTTTCATCAAAATATGACCGGCTTATCAATGGCGCTCGCAAGAGGAAAATCATCACAAATTGATGTGGTTAGAGTTGAGACAAAGAGTAAAGTAAGTTAGCAAACCACTATCATTGAATTACAAAGTCATTGGTAGACAGCCTCGGTTGTGTACTGGTACCAATGAATGGCTAATTATAACAACGGATCGAGGGTTCGATTTCCACCTGGTCATCGTTCCAATCAATTTATCATTTTTCTAAAATATTTTTTATATTAAATTGGTGGTAGAAATATTGAAATTCCGTGCCGGGTCACGAACCACCGTCCGCAAACAATGGTAGACAAACCAAACGAAAATAGATGGACAGCACATATTGCTTAGCTGTTATATTATATGGCTGGCGGATTTCACCAACCATCTGGTGAATGCCACGGTTGTCTGTCCTCTATCAGAAAAAAGACGTATACGTAATACTGTCTGTTTTACTGTTCGATTTTTAAAGGTAAGTTGTTAATCACACTTCTTTCTATGCTCTGCCCGACCGAAATTACTTAAGATATTTTATCAGAATGAGTGTACCTAAGAATCTCTTAATCTTATGTAATGTATATAAACAATGTTTCTCTGAAGCGGTGTTTGGTATACCTCCATCATTTTTTTTGTTAAGCCACTCTTAATTATTCAGGGGCAATTAAACTTTATTTATTTTATTATAATTCCTTAAGTATACAAAAACAAATTACCCAAATACCTAACTAGATAATATAACGTGACTGAATAGCAGAATTATCATTTTATAAATAAAATGTTTTTGTCATTTCTAAAATAACATAACCATCCGGTCCAAGAAATTTTATTTTTCGCGAAGATAACTTGCAATAAATATTGTAATATATGTAAAAAAGCTGTAAGACGTATTACCATTTTAAGTACTTTTTTATATGTTATAAATGTTTGAACACTTAAATGTGGTTGTAGGTAGTTTTCAAAATATCGAGGCAATTTTAACCACAATTTGCCATGTCATTGTCGGCATACATATGCGGAGCTCATTTCTGATATTAAGCATTTGTAGCCAATTCATTTTTCTCAGTAACGCCTGCCAATTAAATTTGATGGGCAACAATCGTTTTTAAGTGTATGGTGTGACAAAAGTATTTATATGACTGCTATGTTCTCATTACAATATTGTTTGTTTTTATGTCCTCGGTGATGTGAGCATGGATTTCTTTAAATCGTCGTAGTAGGAACATCATAATGGGCCCTGGATTAGATTTTTTATTTCTGTAACGCTACGTATTAAAGCTTCTTCTGTTATTCCGACTACACATTCGCGGTTTAAAGCGATAAAAGTATCTTCAATACTGTCTTTAAATTACATTTTTATTTTATTTAATATTATTGTACGCCAACACTTCCCAATGATGATATGAAAATGACTGTACGATAACGATTCCCAATGTTGGCGTATGATTATTTCTTTTATTTTTAAATTTAACTGCCTTACGATCAAGCTATAGGCTCGAATCCTGTGGTATGATAAATTGCCTCGGTGTGGAGACAGAGGACTTATTAAGTTTTTACTTTTTTAAAGAGATATGGTTCAGTGTATGTATGCAAACGTCTGTAACGGCCAAAGTGGGCGATGCAGGGTTACATTTAATAATTTTAGCTAGCCAAAAAGTCCATACACAAGGGTTCCCTACCTACAAAAAATTATTGGACATGCTAAAAATCTAATTGTTTGCACATTAAAGATACCTAATATTATATCAGCGGGAAGTTTTGTGCCCGCTGTGTGCCCCTTAGCATTAATTTTATTGACTCTCAAACAGGGGAGACGAGTGCCAATAGAAATCGTGTTCTATAGTTTTCACCTTCAAATATAACATAACTATTCAATTGCATGCATCCGCGCTAAGTGTGACCGTACCGGCAAACAAGGAACGTTATGACAACTGCGGACTTCAATTATTCCTAGTTGATCCTATTACGTTGATATTGTCTCGTAGGATTATTATCGTACAAACAACGCAAAGTTATTCACGCGCACTGCTCATCTATAGCCTATAAGAGTTACAAAGCGTTATATCAACAAGTGAAACAGCGTAGTAAAAAATACTGCTTTCATAAACTGTTAATTCGTCAAACATTGTATTAATAAATTCAATTTAGAACGCAGCGTAATCGTATTGTTATCTGTTTGCAGATAATGTTCTCCATGTTATCAGTCGGCTGGGGATTAATGTCGGATATCGACATTGAAAGCGAAAGACTACGATCCATAGGCGGACAAAGATTTACCCTATGGGCCCTAGCCAGAACGGTTGCCCTCCGGAAATACAAGGGTGTGCTCAGCTATGCCCTGATCAAAGATATCGGTAACCTACCAAAACCGAAACAAACCATCTTCGGTCGCAGTGTCAGTCAAGATGGGGCCCTAGACTCCCCTGAAACTGAAGCCTTCTTTGACTGCGACGAGCAAACGGAAACATACTGTGCAGATACTGGTAGAAAACATCAAAGAGTTGACTCGTGGTATTCAGTACATTCCAGAAGGACGTTTTACAGTGCACGCGGTTCGGACTACCACAGCATAGTTAGTGGCGGTTCGGAATTGCGATCGCCCGTACATGCGTGCATGCACGGTCCGGGATCGCATCTACCATCCCTTATGTCTGAATTGCCTTCTAGCTGGGTACACGAAGAAGGTGAATTCGTCATGGTCCACGTGTCGTATCAGTCACATATCGGCGAAGACTTTTTATTTGCGCCACGCTCCCGACTGTGCGACGGTGTCATGTGGATGCTTATCATAAAGGCTGGTATATCTAGATCTCAAATATTTTCATTCCTGCTTAAAGTAACTCAAGGTCACATATCAGACATAAATAACGAATATATCAAAATGGTTCCGGTGAGTGCGTTCAGGATAGCTCCGGAAGGTCAAAATGGTTATATAACAGTCGATGGTGAACTTGTAGAATACGGTCCTATTCAAGCAGAGATATTTCCAAATATAGTCAATATACTCGTACCAGATACTAAATAACGCGTGCTTTTATATATAGCTATTACAATTGGAGACTTTCAGTCACTGAGAACCGAGCCCGTTGCTAGCTTAGGTATCTATTGTGCAATATTAAGAATTTGATAAATTATAACTAAACGTCTAAGGTTGTGGTAAAATATATATCAACGTATTTTTACTTGCCTTGAATAGCGATGTTTCTATGGCGTTTGTATTTTAGTTATAATAGCTAAATTGTGATATTGAGATGTATGTTGTTCAGTTGAAAACAATTTCCTAAGTCTGCAAGAGAAACGTCAACGTGAATAGTGCCAAAGTGAGAAGCACTCTAAATTTTATGTCTGTAAATTTCTGAAATACCTTTTATTTACGTGAGTTTGATACTGTTTATTTATACAATTAATCTTTGTTACCTAATAATCATGTTTGCTAAGAGTACAAGTAATAGTTCTAATTAAGTACAAGTGAGCCTAAATGAAGGTGCGGGTAGGTCTACAAAAATATGATTGTATGTCTGTCTTGAAAAAGTAATTAAATTCATTGATCATCCTGATTATGAGAAAATAAATTTTTATTATTATCAAGCAATGATGTTAGAGGCATAACGGACAATATCAATAACTAGATATTGTGTCTGTGCTACATATTATTATCATATGCAAACTATCTTAGTATTATAATTAGTGGGTAGTACTATTTATATGTAGTTAAATGTAATTGCGTTTAAGTATTGGGTAAGTAGTTGTGCTCATCTTAAACTTTTACTATAAAAAGCAATTGTTATGTATGGGCAGTTTTGGGTAACTGTTTCATTTTAATTCTCTCTGTGATACTTAGTTTATTGCCACTAAGCGACACAGCAAACCAGTATAAACCCCAAAAAATTATGTCTAAAGTACTTATAATATTTGATAAAAGCCTAGTGTTGAATCATCCACGTTAATCAAGGTATCTTCAAAATTCTAAACAAGGCTGTAGCTTGGATAAATTCTGCTGCGTAGCAGCATAAGTATTTTATAAACAAATAATACAGACATTTTTTGCCCACTTTATAATTATAGCATAATAGTTGAATTTATAATATATAAAACTGAATAACATAGTATTTGTCTTAATTATTGAAAAATATCTTTAATTAAACTAGGAATACCAAATGTAATAATTATGTAAGTACAACCGGGTTGAAATATTTGTGGTGTCTCCATTCACTTGCTATATTTACTAAAATGTTCAAGTACATTTATTATAAGTATTGTATGTCCTATAATTATTGACCATTTAAGACAATAATTCCAACCATTTTGTCCACTGAAGCTGTATTTTTATTAAAGGGTTATTAAAAAAAAGACTGTTATATATGTATGTAGCATATTATAAAAAAATGGCTTGTTTTTGAAATAACCCTCTGATTTATCTACAGCTATTTAGATTTAAGAACTCGTACAAATTGAATATATTAAAATAAAATAAAAATATAAAAGCACAAAAATAAGTTTAAAATCACAAAATAATATGTATAATTGTTTTTTAAGGACATTTTGAAGATTTTTTTTTTAAATTCCAAGTTTACTTTATTTTCATTGTTTGCACATATAGTTTGAAAATATAATTTATTTTGTTACAAAGTATTGATGAAATGCTCTTAATAAATTTTATGTTTTATTGCATTATTTGATTTAATTCAATAACTCTCGATGAAAAGAAAATAAAAGACAGGTATAAATCAAATTTTATAATTTGTAAGATCCATACAATGGAAGTGACTTCTCTATACTTACAATCTACTTACAAATGTAAGAAATCTACATTAAATTTCAATCTTTTGTTTCATGCATATAATTAAAAAATTTCATTATTACTGTTTAAATGTTATAGACATATGATTTTTAAAGGTATCATTTCAACTAGTACCTTTTTATTATGTAACAAGGCCAAAATATGATTCATTCATTATGCTCCATATTTCATATTACTACTAAAGAAGTTTTAATGAATCATAATATCTTGCCATTTAGCATTGATAATGTTGGGCAGTAAATGATACTTTCATAAAAATACAACACATCGAACCAAGCAAGACACAAATATTAAAAGTAATTGATTAGTAGTAGATTAAAGTCACTCTACTTATGCAAGTTATTGAGCAAATGAAAAATTACCTTAGTTCTATTCTCAAAAATACAAGGTATACTACAATTGTAATATGTATGAAAATCTAGTATATATTCTTTAATTCCGTTACGCTTTACAAAACAAACATAAATAAATTAAAAGGAGTATCCTCTTTTAATTATTACGTGATTATTCCTTGTTACAACTATTTAATAACTTATTCATAAAACAAGTAAAATGTTGTATGGAGGATCTATGTATTATACTGAAATAATACATATATGTAATTACTCTCTTCATTTATATTACAAACATATAAATTTAAAAAACAAAAACAATTTTTTTTTTACCTTAATTTTAATGAATCTAGGCTATCAAGTAGGTTTTGGACTTCAGAATCTACCTGTTCCCTTGTACTAACATTTTCCAACCTCTTACAAACCGATTCGAGTTCTCCAGAATCTGCTTTTTGGATTTTCATATACTTGAGCATCATTTTCACAATAAGACGTATCTCACTTATGAGCTCTTGGGTTTCATGGAAACCTGGTTTCATCTGGATCAACTTCAGCTTACTCTGCGCTAATTGTAAAGGAGTGCGACCATTTTTGTCATTTGAACTGACATCTGTTCCAGCTCCTAACAAAGCTATGACAACTGGAATATGACTTGTACAAGCAGCTAAATGCAATGGTGTGTTGCCAAGAGTATCCTTTATATTAGGATTAGCACCATATTTAATTAGTATCTTTACAACTTCAGCATATCCACGGCAGGCAGCTAAATGCAATGGACTTCTCAAATGCTTATCTGTATTATTGGGATCTGCACCTGCTTGCAACAATTTCTCAACCAATTCTGTATTATTTGTACCAGCAGCGAAACGGAGCTTCTTGTTTTTTGGGTAATACACCAAACTATTTTTATACTTAAGTCGACAATGTCTTGCATTGGTACAGAATTTAATTTTCCCCATTTGGTCATGTGGTTCTTCAAGAAAATCGATTGGCATAGGTTGACCAGATATATTTATTGGTATTGGAGGAGGACTGAATTCAAAGACTTGATGAGGGTGGTCGAATACTGTATTGTCACTGCTTTCATTGCCTGTGTCTACTCCTGAATCAGCCATTGTGACCATACAAGATACTAATTTAACATATCAAGTTATGAAGTTTTCTCCAAGTTCATAATATACGTAGGTCGTTCACACAAATTACTATAAACACTTGTTAATAACAAATGTTCTTTAATACCTATTAAGAAACTCAATTATTTACCTTTAACAATATTAATGATTAAACATTATTTATTGTACCCTGTTCATTTAAAACACAGGATAAGTAATAGACGAAGATATGATATTGTACTCAATCTTCTTAAAGTAAATTTTATTATGACACAATTGCACACAACACTAAATGAAATTGCAGCACAGACAAAGAATTTTTATGACTGTTAAACGTCAATCATATCTAAACTTTATTTTTGACGTACGTCAAAAAATTTAACTGACATTATTTACATGTCAGTTATTTGATTTCGAGAGTCGAGAATTTCGCCTTGGAGGTTAAAAGTTAGAAAACCTTGAAATAAAACGAAATCTATATTTTGAGTTGCTTGTAGTGGTTGCCTATCAAGATTATTATTATCAGTAGAACTGCGAAGTTATTATAAATCATGCAACACTTAACGATTTTTATGGTAAGTGCTACAAAATATTTTTATCATTACAAAGATTCCAGAAGTGTTCATGTCCTAAGTTTAACCTATGTTTATGTCAATAGGATATCGAGAGTTCCCGTTCATATATCGATGAATTATATTCTTCGGATGTGACAAAGGTTTTGGAAGCCTTAATCACTTTAAAGAACTCAGTAATTGGTAGCAACAGACAGAAGAGTTCTGTTATTCAACAAGGAATTGTACCTAGATTGTTACAGCTTATGTCAGAACAAAACTGGGATCCTAATATTAGATTAGAGGCTACAATTACAATTGGTAACTATTTTAATTTTGTATTTTGGAATACATAATTTCTTGTTGATTTAATACAGAACATGATAAAAAGCTCATAAAATGACATACAATAGTTTTGGGTAAAATCCTTGAACATAATGGAACTTATATTTACAGTATGTTTGTATATATGGACATGATGATGGGTATTTAACATTTAAAATTAAGCAAGTAAAGTTAAATTGTGGGTTAACTGTATTAATTTCTTTTTTATACTTTCAGGTTCCTTAGCTAAAGGTACGTCAGAGAATGTCAATGCCTTAGTAGAACAAGGTGCAGCGGTGGCGTTAGTAGAAATCTTAAAAGAAGTACCAATAGGAACTAAATTGGCTGAAGCTAGCCTTTGTGCACTTAGGAGCATATTTCTTAATCCGCCAGCACCAATATCAGCGCTACCTGCTGAGATGAGACTGTTGTCAAGACTAACTCGTAAGTTGAAAATTTATTTATGTGTAAATGGCAATTATCAATTTATTATTTCATGTTAGTTAAGTATCTTTCCTATACTGTGTTAATGTAATTTGAAAAAAGAGGATTTTACTTTTTATAATAATTACAATTGCCCTTCCAAATAAACCATTTAATTTGTGTAAATTAATAATTTTCATTTTCATAATAATTCTATATCAACAGAAATCACGAGAGAAGGCTCACCTACAGCTCGTGCCTGTGTAGTACGCATTTTATCAATTTGGTGTGGGGGGCCTATAGAACAAGAAGCTCTATGTGCAGCTGGAGCATGTAATGCCATTGCAGCATTGCTGGCACCAAAGGGCACAACACCACCACCAATTGCAAGAGCTTTACCGGCATTGGACTTGTTAGCGGCTATGTGCTTTGAAAATGCAAATGTTTCTCAAGTTGCATTAAATACAAGGTACAGACTAAGACACAATCAAAAAAATAATATAGAGGTTATTCCAAAGTATATAGTGAATTTAAAGAAAAGAAAGGTATTACTTGTGTAGGTGCAAATTTTCCTACAAAAAGTGTGAACTATAATATTTATTACTTTTAAATAAAACACTTTAAGGGTTTAGAACGCGATATATTACTTTATTAGTTTTAAACCGTTAAAATGTTTTATTTAAATGTGTACTCCTCGCGTAAACTATAGACAGTATTTTTATATTGATTACTTTTTTAATAATAACAATTCAACTTAATGGTACTTCCAGATATGGTGATAAAACAATTCCTGAGCTCTTAACCCTATTAGTGTCAAGGGATAAACCGTTGCCGGTGGCAATGGGCGCAGCAAGGTGTATTACATTCATTCACAGAGCCGGGGCTTTACCAGCGGATGATAGCAGGTATAATTTTACTTAGTAGCTCCCCAGCTTCTCAAATTCTAGGTAATTTGTTAGTTTTATCATTTTCAGTCAATACGTGTGTCAATTGAGACTTTGCTTTGAATGAGACATTGTTTTTTTGCAGTTACATATATGTAGTAATTTGATTTATTAAAAATATTCACAAAATTAACGAACAGTAACAGATTGTTTATATAAACATGGTTATAACTTGTGAATAACAAAGTAAATATTCACATTGCAGAGTAGTTTTTGGAGCGTTGCCATGCCTTGCGCGATTGTGTACAAAAGATATGCCCGAGGATATTAGAGCCACTGCAGCCGAAACTCTGGCGTATTTGGCCGAGGTAGTTATTACGCATTTTGAGTATCTATATTTGGAATTTTTGTTTGTTTAAGACCAAATTTTCGAAAATTATTTGCTAGAATTTATTTTAGCGCACGGAAAGTTGCGCGTGCGCAGTTTTGTAGCAAATCATTATTGACTTTCTAAATGTCAATTTCAAATTATATTTTTATGATATGTCAATCAACCTTATTGGAAGTATGAAGATGTAAGTTCATCTTCATAATCTTTCTTTATAATTTCTCTTATAACAGTTTGACGATTATTATTTATTTATCTTAATATTCTATTAAAGGTCATAACAATATTATATAGTATCCAGAATTTCTTGAATCAACACAACGTTTTCAAGGCATTTTCACCAGCTGGATATATTTCTCTAGTGACCTTTCTTGACCTCTCCGAGATTGTTGAGCTTATGTTCTTATCAATTTTAGGTTGACACATCTCTTCAAAGGTTAGCTGCTATATCTAATCATTTGATGAGTTCCCTCGCGGACATAGTAAATTGTCCGTCGGCTGCCGCTAAGCAAGGCGCGTTTAAATGTTTCGCCTCCCTCGGTGCAAACGACGAAGATATTAGAAAGAGGATTATTGAAACACACGGCCTAATGGTACACGTTGTTAATGGAATGAATAATCCGGAGCCCTCAGTGAGTACTATTAATGTTTCTGAAGTTACACCGATATTAAAATAAAAAACACGAAAGTAATGCTTATAATAATCTCCTGGGACTGTCTCTGAGAATAAAATATAAGTAAATGCATGCAATTTTTTTGTCAATTTAATACCGCAGTTGCACCACGATAGAAAAACAGGGATTCATTTGGGTTTTAAAGTTCTTCTAATTGAATTCCTAATTCTGTGGGACATGCATACATATTTCCATAATTTAAAAATTTACATGCAAGTAGTTGATCAAATACCTGTGCCCTGCCAGTCCATAACAAGTTATTGTTTTCCAGGGCTTCGAATCTAGGACCTGTAGTCCATAACTTGTGGTAAATAATAATGCATAGCTCAATGCCTAAATGAGGCAGTTGGTTCGTAACACTTCTTACAGCATTCTAATGACATTGTATTTTGTTAGGTAAGATTAGCGGCGGTTAGATGTCTTCATTCACTTTCAAGGTCCGTGCAGCAATTGAGAACTACATTTCAGGTATGTGATGCAACAGTAAACTCCTTGCTTGACTATAACTATAATTTAAGGCCATGACAAAGAGAACAAAAGGAATTATGATGTTTCTCACACTTACAAAATACTAAACTGATTTTAATTAGTGAGGTAACAAATACTGTGTGTAGTTAACGCGAGTAGGACACATTTAAATAAAACACTTTAACGGTTTATAACGCCATATACATTATTTAAATTTATTTGAAAATTATTTTAACTACAGCCGGTCGTTTTATTCAGTAAAGTATCAAACAATTGAAAGTAAGGGCAAGGAGACACCGCGATTATAAAGAGGGTCAGAGAAAATATTGTATTACATTATACACATCTTTTATAGAAAATAAAATAAAATCATTAAATGCAAATTAAAACCTCTAATAGTATCTCAAAATCCAATAATCAAAATAAACATCTCGGCTTCGGCATTTATAAGAATAGTCTTTTACAATTAAATTGTATTTTTAAATTTAGCTCATACTATTATAGTGTATATTTCTTACTGCTCGCACCAAAACACAAAAGATGCGTTTGCGCAGTCCGTCCTTTTTAACTTACGTACGTATTACTAGTGTTGATGTTTTTCAACAAATTCATAAGTAGTTCATAGTAACCAAGTATACGTATAAATAAAATTAATATTTAATTAGTGTAATCTGTGTGTTACATAATTACAGCTTAATTGCAATGCTGTGTAATTATATAATGAAAAATAAATGAGTCTTTGTGTTTGATTCCATTTGATTTTGACCAAGGTTAAATGTGTATTGTCTGTAGGTTACGCGAGAAGTACTCGTTTACACAAAAAAAAAACAGTTTAAATGTAGAAATATAGTAGTAATTTATTTGAGGCCCCGATGTTCTGTCCCCTCCACGACCATCACTTATGCAAAGCATCCGAACAGCTAGCAGAACTTAAATAAATTTAGAAATATATTTCGCGTTTTAATCCGATGAAAGTGTTTTATTATCAGTTTAAATATGCTTTATTAGCTCACTGATATTAAAGTAACTCTGTTAGGACACCATGTTATATTATTTACTAAAATCACAATTATGCAAATAGAAACAAATCATTTAATTTAATGTTAAAAGTAAATTAAAAAAATTCATTTTGTTATTTTAAAAAAGTCATGTTTTACAATTTATTTGAGGTAGTTCGTCCTACTGTCGAACCAGTCGGTCATAGGTCAAACACATTTTTGTGTCTGTTTCACTGATAGAATTTATGTCCACACAAGTAGTTGAATTGACGTCTATTCCCTAGTCTGTCCCTAGTCCGAAACGTATCCTCCGCGATTCGACTCAGGACTCGTATATTTAAGTAGGGATGTTTTTCAATGTTATTCAATTTTACATAAATAATTTTTCAGGATCATTCAGTATGGCGACCCTTGATGCAACTGCTGAGCGAGTCACCGGGAACTGAACTGTTGACTGTCGGGTCTTCTACTCTTTGCAACCTGCTGCTAGAATTTTCACCCGCCAAGGAGCCCATGTTAGATCAAGGTTTATACTAAACTGTTATGTGAGAGATTCTATTACCTATATCTGTATCTATTGCAATATTTACAGCAAGCTGTAAAATAAATAATAAGTATTGTTCAATAGCTTTTCAATAAAAAAAACACCACTTACAATGTTAAAAAAAAAAATAGTTGAAATATTTATAATTTATTTTAATTCCGGTCCGACGTTTTGGATGCTTTGCAGCACCCATGGTCACTGGGGGACAAAGACGGAATTAAAATATTTTTTAAACAAGTCCTACTAATATATTTCGTGTTTTAAACCGTTAAAGTGGTTTATTCAAATAGGTATTACTCGCCTATACGAATAACATATTAAATAAAAAAAAACCTTTTTTGTACTTTTATCTAGTATCTACGTCAGACAGTAATTTATATATATTTTTTTGATTTCCGTTAATTAAAAAGGATTTAAACCGGGCTCCACATCGCTCCGTGCTGCTGCTCTAACCAATTGGGCTGCGGTGTCCTACACGTCCTATATGTGCACCTCTCGCTGAAATAAAAATTTCTCTTCCTGAAAATTTTTTTTACAATAACTTATCTTAATATATGTTTCAGCAATTAAACATGGATGAAACTGTTTAAAACCGCCAGATAATATCATTTTCAGGTGCCGTAGAAATGTTATGTAATCTCACGAAGAGGCCTGAAGCTGCTTTGCGGTTAAATGGTATTTGGGCGCTAATGAACATGGCTTTTCAGGTAAGTTTTCGTAAATGTTTTTCAGTATAGATTAGTAGCATCGATCTATAAGCGAATCGACATCTTGCAACATAAGTTGCAGTGAACCCAGCGGGAGTTCTTAAGGTGCAAGTTTTAATTTTAAATAAGTCTTTTTTTCTGCTATCACGCATACCACTTTTATTACTAAGTTTCCTTTCTTCACCGCGGTTGTCTGGAAGTGATCGCTTGGTAGAGATAAATCCATTCAACATCATCCATTCACGCATTTTAGTGTATAAAATATATTAAAGTTGTCTCCCCGTGACCACGGCTGCTGCAAACGTCGGGCCGAAGTTAAAAATCATTTTCAAATAAGTTTAACTAATATATCGCGTTTTAAACCGTTAAAGTGTTTTACTTAAATATTAAAGTTCGAATTAAAACATGTGTACCATAAATACATTTTTCTTAGTGATGAGTTTTCTATTTAAAAAGAACATAATTCACGGGTATACAATAATATAACTATGTACGGCTAATAATCATTGGGTCGTTCCCAATCAAGTTGATTTTTTGGAAACGTTGGACTTCGTTTAGAATCAAAGATCCTGTCCGGGTCACGAATCACCGTCCACAGATGAAAAAACCGTGATGTTTAGTCGCCTTTCGTTCAGTCTGTGGTTTTCCGAATATCCAAAGCCCAAATAGGTCGACTTCACATCTTGTTGAGATGTTATAGGCTGAGGTATTTCACTCTTGGCTTGTCTGTTTTCCATAAAAACAACATACAACAGTTTTAACCACTCCTTTTTACTTTGCAGGCGGAACAGAAAGTGAAACAACGAATATTATGCTGTCTGGGCACAGAGCAGATGTTTCGTTTGCTCGGAGACAGTGATACGCGTGTGATCATGAAGACGTTGGGCTTGTTGCGCAACTTGCTGTCGACAAGGCAACACATCGATGCTATAATGAATGAGTTCTCTTCGCAAGTTATGCAAGTAAGTTTCAGTTCAATATCCATATTAATAGTATTTTGTGGTTCGGTCAATATGTTTTATTTGCTAATGTGTTTCGACTTTATATAGTTGAAGCCGAAAATTACATTTATCATCTCATTCAATATTTTTCACATGTGACGGCGTTATATAAATTAAAAATCGATTTTAGATAAAAAAAAAGACGACGCTGTTAAACAGGTTAAAATTACAATGCGCGAGAGGTGCATGTATCAAAAAACTATACGATGACGGGGTAGGACACCGTAGCTCAAATGGTTAAGGAACAGCACGGAGCGCCGTGGACGCCGGTTCAAGTATTGCCCGTGTTGTAAAATGTTTACAATCTAAAATCGATTTTTAATCTACATCTTGTATCATTTGTTTGTGAATGGCCATTAAAGAAGTCCTCTTTTGAACCCTGTTAAACCTTAGTATTTTTACAGTCAAATACCATAAATTAAGTTGTTTAATGTCTAATGTCTAATTGACTTTTTAGGCAGTGATAGTAGTATTAGAAGGATCGTATCCGGCGGAAGTGAAGGAGCAAGCATTATGTATACTTGGTAATATAGGCGATGGGGAGAAGGCCAAAGATTTTATTATGGCGAACGAAGACGTCTTGAGGAAACTAGTCGATTATTTAGTAAGTACTATAGAATGTAGCTATGGACCAAAGTATTTTGGAAGGTAAAGATTCAATAAAATAAAATATTATGCGCAGGCGCATCCAGAGAGCAAATTGCAAGAGGCGGCGTTGTTTGTGGCTGGAAACTTGGTTTGGAAGGGGGAGGCGGGCTGCGCGGCGCGCCAAGCGAGGCTTGCGGAGTTAGGCGTGTTGCGTGCACTCAAATTGCTTCGACAACGCCCGGACGCCGCCCATTTGCACGATAAGTAAGTTCTCGAGATGCCGATCATAAAAGTAAAGATGTGCTATCGATGTTTTTTTAATTATTTATTATATGTCTGTAACCTCTTCAGGTTTTTTCATCCAAACGAAGGTCAATACAGAACATAAAATAATATAAGATTATACATGTAAAAACTTATACACTATACAATTAACTGAAATATTTTAAGAATGAAACCTCGAAAAGTGAAAGACAATATTAAGAACAAATTCTGTAGTAAACCATACGCGAAATTGAAACTATTTGATTCGGCCCGACGTTTCGGATTTCAGCAGCTGGTCACAGGGAGAATTTTCTTTATCTTCACTAACTGTCGTGGTCCTGACATAATTTCGATACTCCTACCATCCATTTAAAGTCTTGACAGATTTCAGAAAGATTGCAAAGTATGTTTAGAATCTTAGTGGACCTCGAAGGAATTGAAACTACGACTTCTTGATTCAATTGCCATGATTGGTCCAGTAGTATGAATACCATTAAACCATGGAGAAAGATGAAGACGTGGCTTAGCATAAATTGAAGTTTTTTTTTTTACAGAGTGAAAACCGCCTTGGCACAGTTCAACGAACTCACATAAGATAATAGATAAGTTTTTTCTTGAAGTCTGCGTTTGTGATCGATCGGGCAGTAAGTAGCCGTAGTTTAGTCATATTTAATGACCACTAGTATACTGTGACTTCGTAGTCATTCATTTGCTATAAACGATATTACTTTGTATTAAATTCATATCTCGATTCTTTGGGAAACGTTCAGAAGTAGCTTAGTATTAGCAAGTAGACAGAACAGAGACGTCATATCCGTCCGTTTTGAAAGTTGTATGTAGTTTACGCGTATTGGTAACATTTTAAATACTTAACGGTTTAAACGGCGCTGTATTAGTTAAAACGAAACGCCTGGCCGTAGTTTAAATGATTTGTAAATAAGTTTGACTAAAACATTTCACATTTTAAACCGTTAAATGTTTTGAAATTGTATGAAAAACAATCTACAAAGTGCTATGCGTTTTTTTTTTTTTATTGGTTATTACATTTTATTTGCCGCATACATTTTTTTTCGGAGACGTGTACTCTGAATACATAGAGTAATGAACGTATTGTTACTGTTCTTTTTTTCGTATGTCGATAAAGGTATAATGCAATATTTCAGCAGTGCGTTGAAATATTTGATAGTTAATACTCACTGTATGAATTGTTTATAAGTAGATAAGTACAGATATACTAGCGGTCAGTGTTGATATTGTAAATACTTAAGCAATTGTTAACTGATGTTAGTTAAACTATTTATTTCTACGTTAATCATTGTTAGCTTGGCTCAATTTCCGTTACTTTCCCTTGTTTGCACGATAAACGCTCACCAAAGACACTTGTAACCAAATATTTCTTGTATCTTGTAATATTATCCGAAGGAATAGACCGACTAATATTCCTTTGGCCCTTCAAAATATTATGTGAAATATCGGTGGGCGTTTTAATTATATCAACTTCTTTCTGATGTTAAACGACTGTGCTATCCTCGTTTTGAAGAATGTAGTATAACTACGGTGTTTCGGTCGCGTATATGAAATATCGACGACATATTAAATTAATAGGAAATTCTTAAAATTAAGAAGCAGACTGTTCGATGGTTTTAGCTTTTGATATTGTAATATTTTTTGGCTAAAACACCTTTCAAGTAACGAATTAAAATAAGATGTTTTGCAAAGCTATCTAGGTTTCATATTATGTAGTACACGTTATTTACAGGGAAGTATAGTGTATTTTTTTTAACTTGGCAAAAGATCACAAGAAATATGGCCGATTTCAAATCATAGTGATGCTTATAGAGTGTAGCCATTGCCACAGATGACACCGGGTTAAAGAAATATCCATTATATATGTACCGAACGATCTCAATATTTAAAATCACATTTATCACGACTTATTTTTTTTATGTCAATATTATTTAACTCTACGTTTTTAAAGCTTTTCAGCGACCGTGCACGAGTGGGGCGTCTACCTTCTATTGTCGTTGATTTTGCTTTCATCTCATACTTATGCAAATGACAAACTAAAGAAATTTTAATCTGTGCATTTGCGGCTTCTGTGGTTGTAAAATTTTTCTGGATTTTTAAAAGTATCGGTGTATAATATATAATTTAAACTCAAAAAGAGTATGAATCATTCTAAACCGTGTAAAATTGTGTGTTAAATCATGTGGTTACTTTACTAAAAATGCCAAGTAAGAGAAAATACACTATAGACACTTGTAGATATTAACTCTAACATCATATAGTTTTTCGTAGAATGTTTATAATTGATCTTGACTTGCTGTGATGGGCTGTTCAATATAATTAGGTTATTTTTACACAGACGGATTTTCAAGTCAAACTTTCATTAATTACTATTGATAATGAACCTGGTCCGTAGACTGGTTCACGAATATACGCTATGAATATTAGCACAGTTTTATATTACCTCAACTTTGTTATTGTTGTTCATTTATATCTCAAAATGTATAAAGACGCTTTGAATCTCAGATTTTTTTGGACTTATGCAAATAGAACAAGCTACTTGTTTGGAGAAGTCAGTGAAAATTTTGACCGATAGTAAGTTTTAACTTGGCGTGTTTATACAACTATTTAATAATACTGTGTATTTCAAAACACTTAGTTTTTTTGAGTTAGGGCGCCACAAACATGTAGTATAAAGTTTTCACATTATTTTCATTGTTACAAAAGTACTTTGCCAGTATAAATATTAGCAAGCAAATTTTTATACTCTGGATAATGTAACGTTCTCAAACGTCCAAGCTTTGTGCTAATGTGTATGTATATATCTTGATATTGGAACTGTATTTATGACTGGAAAGATATTGTTACATATTTTCTTTATCAAGTTCTAATTAACGACTGTTATAAAGTTGTTCTGAGAATATTGAGTAAAAATGACACTCAAATGTAATCTTTTGCGTTGTATTAAAATCTTGTTTTTTTCGTGGCATCAATAATATAAGCTTACCATAATTGAAACATACGTAATACCATATAATATATGTAAATATGTCAAAGTTTAGCCAATTTTTCTACACGGGATATGTCTGATTGAATGAATTTATTTCTTGTGATCAAAGAAAAATAAAGAGGATACTTACATGTTTGTTTTATTTTCATCACATAGAATTTAATATTATAAAGCTGAAGAGGTAGTCTGTTTGTTTGGCCGGACAGAGCAAAGACACAGACTCAATACTTGCCCATTAAAATATATCACCGATCCCTGAAAAAAAAAAATGTGAGTGTTCCATGTGTACATTTGATTTTTATATTAACTTATAATGTTCCTAAAACATGCCGCACTTTGTCTGGGAATCTGGATATTAAATGAGTGGTAGGAGTCTATACACCTACCACTCCTACTATAAATGCCATTCAGACCCTAAACCACCGAACACAGACAAAAATAACGTAATTTTTATTCGCGTTTCGGTTACAGTTTGAATTACCGAATATATAAGCCGAAATGGGTCGACTGCACATCTAGTCATTTATTAAAAATTCGCCATCAAAAGCGTACTTTTGCTCTAATCAATCACCTAAAATTGATTTTTAATTTATATGACTCCATCATGTGAAAAATATTAAAGTTTTCAGATGTTATACGGCTGGGGTAAAGCACCTTCCATCAAACGAACTTTTTCTGTCTCTTTCGATCTGTCCTCTTTTATCATTAAAAGAAATCATAAATTAGTTTTGTTTTTAACAACGCCCATGTGAGGCGGACTTTGTTAATTTAACATTCGCGCCAGCTTACAACAAAGTACTCACATACTTCTCGTTTTGAGCTCATTATAAATAATGAGGAATAAGCTGGCGGACTTTTCTTTTTATTTAGAACAAGGTGACGAGACAAGTTAATTTACAATATGAAGGGCAATAAGTTTTTTTTCAGTTTTATGTTTCTATGTCCTATTTTAAATATTATCTATATTATATTTATTTATTTCACACTTTGGTACACACAAGATATAGATACTCGATGAAATTTTATGAACTATAGAGTGCACGCACGGCCTTATCGCTATAAGCCATCTCTTCCAGGCAACCCGAGTAGAAAGAAACTTAATTATTAAAACTAGACAATGTGCAAGAAATGCGAAAACTTAATAACTACTTAAACTATATAAAATAAACTTAAATTATATTAATAACCATTAAGCAATTTAAGAAGAATGACAGAAAATACTTTGAATGTAGTCAAGGAAGGGGCCAGCTATTTAATTTTGTTTCTATGTATATAGTTAGTTATTTATTTATCTTAACATATGCTATCCTCCCCTAAGGCGGAAAGGGAAATGGGTGAAACGGTCAGCAAATTATGTGGACTGATCGCCTCGACTTCTATCGGTTTCTCCTTGAAAACAATAAAATATTAATAATCTAATCTAGGATTCGATAAGGATAACAAAGTTAGTTTAGACGTATTCTTTTTAACTAACTTCGACGTTAGATTTTAATTGGATGAAAAGGTTTCCAGAGTTTAGAGACAAAATGTAATTTACTTAACACAATTACTACTTTTCTTGTAAATAGATTGGTAAAGACTATTTAAAAATAAACTAAATTTTTGTTGGACTACAAGATAAGTAGCTTAAATAATTTATGTCCCTCTACAAAAAATCTACCACATATTGGAGTTTATTACACGATATCGGCACGTAAGTATTCGGAAAGGGGATGTTTCCCGTGCCCCGACACCCTCGGGGCTCGTAAAGCAGTAAACTGCGGAACGGTTCCTTACTGGGTCAGAATATTAAATAAACCTTCGTCCTGCCTTATATAGGTTACGTACTGTGTTAGTGGGTCTAGTTCTACTATACTTCAAAGAACGATACTAACATTTTTACCAATACTTCTTTATGATTTTCCTCCTCATGACTAATCGCTGATTGCATAAAGCACAAGGTTCAAATCATAGGTAGAAAATAGAATCATTTGCGAGTAATATCGATCCGAGAAAAATAATACCTACCGTCTATTTTCCCGCTGAACAAACTTAGACTAAAGTTTAAATAAAACACTTTAACGGTTTAAAACGCGATATATTAGTTGAACTTGTTTGAAAATGATTTTTAACTTCGGACCGACGTTGGGCCGTAACTAATATATCGCTTTTTAAACCGTTAAAGAGTTGAATTTAAATGTGTACTACTCGCATAAACTATAGACAGTATTTAGACAGACTTTATTCAAAGTATTTATTATGTTATCTATAATAAACTATAAAGTGAACAGTTTGTTTCTTTGAATGGCTAATCTCAGGAACTAGGTTGATTCTTCATGTCTCGGTTAGAGCATTTACAAGGAAGGCTTTAGGCTAAAACCACAAAAACACAAGATGTGACTTATAGGAGCGTAGAATAATATATTCGTCTCTGTCGTGACTGTTACGTGTGCTGCGAAACGAAACGGTTTTAAATAAAATATATTAAACACGAACATTATAATATCTTTGTTTTACATAAGAGATGTTTTATAAATAGAAAGCAATTAAGGTCCAAATGGGTATACATATATACGTGTCCTGCAGTCTGGTCTTGTGG